GGCCTGGTTGCATTTAACAGCTCAATTAATTAAAACTAGCTTTGTTCATTCTCGATTTTAAGCTTTCGTGACTGCAAGGATTCATATTCTTAGGTTTTTTCGGTAAAGTCACGTAGGTAAAAAAATAAAATGAATAAAGGCCCATTCCTAACAGCGTTCCTAACAGCGTGTTCCAGTCGCACCGAACCTCACAAAAATTATATTCAGGGCCTACCTTGGCTCCTTCCACCCTCAACCAGTATATATACAAATACTGTGTTCTTGGAATTTCTCTCACTTGATACAGCTATCGTGCTGTGACGGTTCCACCTAGCTTTGTTCAACCAGGAAAGCCTGAGGGGTTCCAGGAAGGGACTGCACGGGGATGTTTGGCCAATACAATTAAAGAGTGTTTGGCATGACATAATAATAACAATAATGTAGTGTGTTTAATATTCATGAACACAGTTTATAGCGCGTGCATATTTCACGAAATTGGGCGCGTTGTTCGATCGATAACTCAGAGGGGCTGAACCAAAGCTCAAAGACCAACATAAGCCAGACTGAACAGCTGAGAGGCCTGAAATTGCTGCTAGAAGGTGGAAGTTTCTTAGATGCAGCGAATGTGCAGTGGGAGAGAGTTCCCTTTGGCTGGTGCAGCTACGGAGAAGCGTTGCTCAGCTAGTACGGTTGTGGTTCTGGATGCGATGAAAGGATATTTTTGGACGTGATCCAGGTCTTCGTGGATAGCCCGTGGTTCACGGTGGTTAAATGTCACTCATTTGTCAATCAACTGCTAGATGAACGCACGCCACTTCGGTCATTGTGCTTGTTTGGCCATATTTCACCTGCGTTGTTAGCGTGGGTTGGTTAAGGAGGGGGGGGGGGGCTCCAATGGTTCATATAATCACTCAGCACTGTCGTTCGCTGTAGCTTGGAGTCGAATCGAGGTTGCCGAGTTTATAGTGCAGCATGCTAATCACCGCTCCCCGAAAATTGTGAACATAATTGTAAATGCAGTGTAATTGAGTGGACACGTACATGTGTTGAGAGACGTTCAGGAAGGGTGGTTTGTAGGAATGTCACGATCTATAGATTTCGATTCAAAGCTTTCGTGACTGCAGGGATTCATATTCTTGGTTCTTTCGGTAAAGTCACGTAGAAGGGAAATAATATAATATTTTTTATTTTATTATTTCCCTTCTACGTGACTTTACCGAAAGAATCAAGAATATGATATATAGATTAATACATTTAAATCGATTATTTAAACTCACATGCTTGGAAAAAGGATTATTTACGAATATTGTATCCATCGTTACACCAGGGCAAATGCTTCCAACACAACTGAACGATACAATCCAGTGGGCAAAGAGGAGACAAAAGTCGATTTATGAAAAAAAAATACTAGGAGATTCGGTATTACAAATCATATAAAAAAATCATGGCAACTTATATAGTCGCTTTCATAAAATATCCAGGCGCTATAAAGGGTTTGTTCGAGCCGTTTGTAAAACCACTGTTGGACGAAGGTATCCCCACGCCCTGTCAGTCATGGGGGTTGTTTGACCATACTTCACCACACTGGTCAGTGCGGGATGGTAAAGTTTAAGAGTGCAATGCGCTGGCTACTGCGATTGTGTAAATATGCTGACATTCTAAATACGTTTTTCTGGCGATTTATATAAAGGACTGTATCGGTGCACTGAATGAATTATAAATGTACAACGCATTATATAGCATACTATCCATTGTTCACGTTGACAAAAATTAAAATGTTAAAATGACACTGAAAATCACGTGACTTCTCGTTTGAACATGACTACGGAACTAAATCACTATTGTTACATGTACAACCGATGTACTGTCCACGCCTAGACTGTGTGCTCCGGGCGGTCTCACGTGTACGCTGGTATAAAGTGTTCGCTAAAAGACGACACTTTAAAATAGTAATAAAAAATGGTGACACTGGCCGTGAATGGGAGGAAAAATATACACGATTGTTTCGGCTCATGGCCCTTCTTTATGTGCAACTAGGAAGGCATATTGCCCGAAACGTTGCTTTAAAATCATGGTCAGACTTGTCAATCACTGGATTGGCGTCACTTTAAAAGTGTTTCTTTCTTGGATTTAAAGCTTTCGTGACTGCAGAGATTCATCTTCTTGGTTCTTTCGGTAAAGTCACGTAGACGGGAGATAATAAAAGAATAAAAATAAAACATAATAATTTTATTTTTATTATGACTTGACTTTACCGAAAGAACCAAGAAGATGTTTCTTTCTTGTTTTAAACCAAGCTTCAAATATATGTCAAGCAGCCCGGCATGCACAGCTTAGGCGTGCACCGTGTAGTTTACCAGATGCGTAGGAAACAGCAGCCAATACCCATGCAGCTGGCACAGCCCATTATCCAGATGTACGGAATCCTAGGACGCATGCCACGTATAGAACCAACAAGTTATCACTGACCCAACGGCAGAGGTCCCTGGCCTCGACCTCACTCGAAGGCAGTGAACATCACCCAACCGAATCCGCGATGGCGCGGCCACCTTCTTCACGAGTGCAAGTCGAGGGATGTGACCCCAAAGCGCGACTTGTGGCCATGAGTCCCAGACCATGGAGCGCATCGCATCAACCTGCCCACCGAGATCTGTTGCCTAAGGCGCTTCATTTGTCCACTCAGGATCTCAGGAAACGACTCAGTGGATCGCCAAACTAGGCATACCATTATAAGCTTTTCCCGTCATTCGAAAGAAGACGTGAGCCGTTTTGTTGACGTCTTTATTTAATAGACCTTTAATTAGGGGGACGTTAACGAATTACCCAGTAAAGATTACACTTTGGGCCAACGTTGGCATTTGTTTGAAACCATTGTACCAACATTACCCCAAAGATCCATGTTAACAAGGGTAATGAGCCTGCTATTCGCCCAGTGAATTACAGCAAGAAACCCCATTGAGATATAAATTGCCCTGAAATGTGCAGGTTCTTAATGGACGTTTTAGTGCTTTAATACAGAAGCGTTTAAAACGACGGGCTGTCAATGTATGTTCATTTAAAATATTCCATGGAGCAGTGGACGCAGTAGTTAGCAATTTAGCATCTTGTGCCGGAAACCGTCCATCGGTTTGATTCCCGTCCACGGATATGAAAGGGCGAAGAAATATCTGAACCACTTCACCAACCTGCACTGCTCACGGTGAAGTCTGGTCAAACCACTATCACCGACTCTCTATGGGTAAGCAAGCCTTCATCCAGCAGAGGATTGTCATCTTGACGAGCGTCAGCGTAATCGATGAAATAGATCACCGTCTCCCTCGTAGTCGTCTCTCCGAATGAAGAATAAAAGTATTTATTTCACCATCCCAGCGGCCTCCCACGGCCTTGTTGGGTCGATCGCACCGCGTGCCTCGGGGCGACAGTGCGGACCACGCTGGCGGTCACCACGTGGCGATTGTACAGCGATTGTGCAATCCCGACCCCGCCGCCTTCAAGTTCATGTATTAGGTGTAGCCCTGTGAGCCATTCGGCTCTTGAATCGGGTGCAACCGCAACAAACAAAAAACATGAACGAAAAACATCTTAAAGTGAATATGTAACTGAGTGCAAACAGAAAATCCAAGAAAATACAGCAAACATTGCAGAAAAAACACCGCACACCAACGCTGTGTGCAAAAATCCCAGTGGGATGCAAGCCAAACAACCAACAACAACCACAAGACAACCCAGACCAAGGCCATCAGTCCAACTCTGCACCACAACAAACAAACACGGCCAAACCAATACACCTCTCGAAATCACCAAAATAAAGCCATGAAACCAATGAAACAGTGATCATAGGAACTGTGACGGAACCTTCACAATAAACGGCATAAACAACATGCACCACCAAAACCCTGCAGCCAGAGCTGGCTGCACGAGCCACTCGGAGTGTTGGGGCTGAAATCGATTTGCGGATGCCAAAGGCACCGCGAGGGGGGTTGGGGGGTGGCCAACTCCACTCCCGACCGCCTTTGTCTCCCACCGCTGCGATGTTTTACTACAGCACCGCAGCAGGTACTCATTTTAGGCTGAGTAGACCTGCGGGAGGCCCAGGTGCCGGTTGGGATAATCGTCAAGGGACCATCCAATTGAGTAGGTACGCAAAAATCTGTCAAAGTTTGACCCCTCCTCCTCCTCCCCTCCCTGTACGCACGCTTGACCCCCCCCCCCCCGAATCCTATAGAACGGCCGATATTTAATCCACGCAGAAACGATCAAAGATTAATCAATATAGTAAGGTGTTTAAGCAAACAGGTAGTCCACCGCCGGACTATCAAACTCATTTGAAGGCCAATATAGACAAATTATTATCGAGGCTTGACCCCCCCCCCCACCGTTTCCTATGCGTACACACATTGTCAGTAGAGCCCCCCCCCCATACGCATGCTACGCATTTGTGTTAACCCCCCTACCCCCCCATACGCATGCTACGCATTTGTGTTAACCCCCCTACCCCCTCCATGCGTGCGCACGAGGTGGATGGCCCCCACGGGTGTCGGCCGTGTGCGGGGGGGGGGGGGTCGAACCCCGCCCGCCGGCTCCCTCACAACCCGACTGCGCATGCGCGCGCGAGGCGAAAGCGGGAGGCGGTGGCTGGTGACGTCACCACCTCCACGCGTTTCTCGCCGACGTGCAACCAGCGCGCGCGAGCGCGGCCCTCGTGGCGTGTGACGTCACAACGACCAATCAGAGCGCGCGCGCGCGTGCGACGAGAGCTGGAGGCGGCGACGCGGAGAGTGAACCAATCAGAGCGCGCGCTTGCGAGTAGGGGCGGGAACTAGGCCCCCGGGGCGCGTGACGTCACTCCCGCCACGCGTTCGTCTCCAGCAGCGCGCGGGGCGGGTTGTTGTAGGGGGCGGTGGCGTGGACGGGGGCTCGTGATGACGTCCGACCGATCCCACCAATGGGACGCTCGCGACGGGCGGGATGGGGCGGGGCTTGGCGTGGCGGCGGTGACGCGAGCGCATTGCGCAATCGCCCGCGCCGCCCCCCGCCAATGCGCATGCGCGGCGCGGCTACGTGGAGAAGCCGGCCTTTAAACGCGACGTATTTGACGGCGAGCGGCGAAGTTTTTTTTCCTCTCGACTTCTTCTCATCCCTCCTCCTCCCTGCGCTGTCGGCGAGCGAATTACGGGCGCTTCGAGAATAACCCGCCGCGCTACAGTCAGCGCGACACTCGGTCTGGTGCGACTCGAGGAGGGGACCAAAGGGAGCGATTCGTTGTCATTGGAAGTCGGTAAGGAAGGAGGGAGGAGGGGGGCGAAGCCTCCGGCCTAGTGCGGCAGTCTCGTTGCGAGACGACTGCAATGGGAATTATAATTATAATCACATTTATAATGTGCGGCTGCTTGTCAGTCAAACTTGCTGGGGGAAGTCGCCCACCCCAGGCCATGTCGGTAATGGGGGTTGTTGACCATACTTCACCAGTGCGGATGTGTGAAGAGGGCGGCGAGAGGAGGCGGGGAGGGGGGGTGCAAGGGCCGGTTCAGATGTCACTCGCTACTCGTGTTGGTCGTGGGAGTCGAACGCATCTCGACGTGTTCATAGTTCAGTGGGCTAGGGATCGACCCCCCCCCTCTCCCTAGTAGTTATACCCTGATTAAACATAGTAATTACGTGGTTAGTATAAGGGAGGTTAGTGTTAGAGGCGGCGCTCATTTCAGCTGGTGTCGCGGAGACCGTGGTGGAAATTAAACATTCCCATGACAGGCAACAATCTCCATAGTGGCACCTAATTGTGTTCAGCGACCTCGGGAGGATGAGTGGTAGTGTTCTGAGTCATCCTGAGTAATCTGTATGTATGTTGAACTTCTTTAGCACCGTACGTAGCCAACCGTGCTAATTCTGAGCTGCCGTGGAAGGACAACAATAACTTGTAATCTGATTGATTTGGGCTGCTCTGATTAAAAACGATATCCGTGGTTAGTTGATGACATTGGCTATTTAATCCGTAGTTCAGAGTTGGGTGCAACAGTGTGGTTAGCGCACTGCGTTTATGAATTGGCATGGCTAACATCAGTGCCGGGTGATATTTGAACTGCAGTCCTGAGCCCCCAGGCCCTCTTCACCATCCGACACTTACCAGTGTGGTGACTTTTGGCCAAACAATCTCTATGAAAGACGCGGTTTGAGAAGCTCTTAATTCAGCAGTGTATTGGCAAAGGGCTACATTATTAATACTATACAGTGGATATACCCTGTCTCATTTGCCGGAACCACTTAATGTGGCAACTGTTTTTTCCCCATATTTTTTATAGCCACTGATTCTTACATGTTTTACTTATATTGGCATCATAAAGCTGTGTAATCTGTTTTGCCCTTTTTTCTTAAATCAAGTTCCGTTTATATTTTGCCTCGTCGACTAACTTGAGTTTGACTGCGACGTGGAATCTCCCAATCCAGGAAGTAAATGTCGCCAAACGCTTACTGTGCTGTACAGTACTGGATGGTTTAATTAAAGTAAATAAAGCAAAAATCGTCCGATTCATCATTATTACCGCCTGCCAACAGAGCAATATCAAATAGGCCGACGTTTCGGAGAGTGACGCTGCAGACCAGATTCTTGAAATATGTATATTGTATAATTTGTAAATCAACATTTACAATGGTTCCCTGAATAAAACCGAAAATGCTAAGTTTATATTAACCGTTTTTGACCGTTTTTAACTTCATTTGTCTACTTCAAGTTTAACTTTTTATTAAGGCACACAGTGTAAAGAACTTTATAACTCAGCTGTAGCACATCTCGGTTCCCTGTGTGAAGGGACGTTGCCTAAAGCGTCAGTTCTGGCATAAGACAGCTTTTAATGAATATGACGAGTTTTATTCGTACCTGTGTACCACTGCCAATGCAGTTATTTTGTCATCAGTAGTTATATAAAAACAGATAAGTATTCAGAAATCTTCCAACTGTATACAAGGACAGGATCTACATGCACATTGTAAAGTGGGCACATGTGTGACTGGTCGTATAAAAGTTTACGTTTTTTCGTTGTCTTTAAATTGCAAACTCAGTGGAATTAAGTTTTATGAAATGATATATATATCTCAAGTGAACATTTACCCTGTACATTGCTATTATTTAATGTCAGTTATAAAACATCAATTGTAATTGTATTTTCTGTGACGCAACAGGCCATGGAGATAACACTGTTTTTTGTTTGGAATTTTACAGTTGTGCCTTCATCTCTGCAGCCATGGGGAGCCTTTTTAGTGTGTTTAAAGACTTGCTGGGCAAGAAGGAAATGCGCATCTTGATGGTGGGACTCGATGCAGCTGGAAAGACTACAATCCTGTACAAGCTTAAGTTGGGAGAAATCGTCACGACCATCCCCACTATAGGTACCACACGACGAAGTTAATTTATCATTGTTTTTATTGTCTTGGCATGGTTCCTGCTAGGCAGTGTTCAGGGCTAGAGGCAGATGAGTGAAATATTATTTTGTAGAGAGAATATGGTGGTTTGAGGGTCATTGCAGCAATACTTCATCAAAGTTTTAATTCTGGCTATGTACCTTTGTAGGAGTGGCTAACAATGGGCAATCCACAGGTTGCCCTCGCCACAGATGAATAACCGGCTCATTGTTGACACCCGCCATAAACGTTCAACTATAGTGCTGATCCCATTGTGGTTGGTGCCAGGTGACTGACAGGTGCCGAGCTATACAGTACATGCTCCACCCATCTAATGAGCAGTTTTCTGTGTTTAGGGTTTAACGTGGAGACTGTGGAGTACAAAAACATCAGCTTCACGGTGTGGGACGTGGGTGGTCAAGACAAAATTCGTCCACTTTGGCGCCACTACTTCCAGAACACGCAAGGTATGTGTTTATTGCATTGAAGGATACATAAACATTAAAGTTGTCAGTAATGTTGCCACTGAAAGAATAATTGGCTGAGTTTGAGATGCCTTTCGTAAGTCGAGTGTCCATTTACTTGAGATAAAGCAAAGTGATTTCATGTCGCAGTGCTGAGAGGTTGACGTAAACAACTGTTTCTGCAGGGCTGATATTTGTGGTGGACAGTAATGATCGGGAACGTGTGAACGAGGCAAGGGAGGAGCTGATGAGAATGCTTGCTGAAGATGAACTCCGAGATGCTGTTTTACTGGTGTTTGCGAACAAACAGGTAACTTGAATATTGATTTTGTGTCATAGTTTTGCTGCCAGTCGCTAACATGTGCTCCCTCACTGAAACGCTTATTTTTGTGGAAAGTTGGAATCTTGCCCATTCACTGGTAAATGAGGGCCTTCCCTATGCAGTGCAGGCCATCTGGGTTATTTGACTACTGCACATGCTGCTCAGTGAGGGTTTGGGAAGACGGGGAACATAGATATTGTAGCATCGTTAATTATTCCTTACTGCACTCCCCTCTGCTAACAATGCATCCTCTCAACAGTGTACAACAGCTGTTTTAATGCATGACCACCTATCCAAGCACTATCCAGGCTCAAATCTACTTAGTTTTCAACATATAATGGGGATAAGATGTATGCTGGGTGATGTGGTAATTGGCAGCTGTTAATTTCAGCTGAAACTGTCTGCGTCGGGGACCCAGAAATAATGATACGGCCCAGTACACATCCCGTGTATATGTTCCACTATGGCTGTGGCTCCCGAGTCACAACATTCCTATCAGTAACCCAGAAAATATTCCATGGAAAATCAAGCCCTGGTCATAAGCATCCACATAAACGCTCATTTCCTCCCTCGACAGGATCTGCCCAACGCGATGAATGCAGCCGAGATCACAGACAAGCTGGGCCTGCACTCGCTGCGCCACAGGAACTGGTACATCCAGGCGACATGCGCCACCAGCTGGTGATGGCCTCTACGAGGGCCTTGACTGGCTGTCCAACCAGCTGAAGAACCGGAAGTGATGTACGCAGCTGTTGCCTGGCAACCAGCATCAGTCCTGAGAGCCACCCCCATCCCTCCTTCACTGTCCTCTCACCCCATCCACCTTAAACTCCCCAATTCCCAATCCCAGCGAGGCATGGAACTTTTGCTTGTGTGTGTAATGGTGGTGGTGCGGAGCAGAGGTGTTCCTTACAATTAGGTGCATAAAAAACAGAAGTTACTGCAAATGTTGCTTTTAACCTTCCAATCTATGCTTACTCAATTTGGCTGCATTGTGAATCCAGATGCTCATGGAGGATCATAGAAACACTGGGGGGGGGGTTTGTGATTGCAGGTAAAGCTGTAAGGTGTGTTTTTGATTTCCATATTTATTTATGCCTTTTTCAATACAAAAAACATAGGGCTGAAGTGCAAACTACTGTTGAGCAGGTTATCAGGTCGGTGTGCTGGGGTGGGCTCAAGTTTGGCTTGAATTAACAATGAGATGAGAGCAAGTGCAGTGGATACAACCACAGCCATTTGTCGTGCATAAACCTGGCTTTAAAACAATTATATTCCAAACATTCAAGATCACACATTTATTTGCCTGACTGCAAAACCTGTGAAGGACAAGTTTGCATTTAAAACTATGTTCATCTAGAATGGCATTGATTTCCAAATGCACTGCTTTTGTCAAGTGTTTCAATCCACTGGTAAATTAGGGCCTCCCCCAACGCGGTGCAGGCCATCTGGGTTATATGTTGTTTGGAAGCAAATGCAAGTTGTTGTTTCACATCCATTGCATTATGTGCAAATGTATGGGATGAATTTTTTTGTCTTTGGGTTTTGTTACCATTACCATTCCTTGAGTTATTGCAGTAAATTGCAAGTTGTTGAATTTATATATCCTGTAAAGATGGTCAGGCCCTTTTAAATAGACTAGGTTATATTAGTAGTTGGAAACATTCAGACGTTGATTGCTTTGCTATGTGTTTGTGGTAGTTGGGTCTTTGTTTTATATGATGGAGAAATCAAAACTATTGTAATAAAGTAAAGGACAAAAATACATGTTGGTGTTTGACAGTGCTGTAAACAGTTAAATGATGAGCATGTAAATATGTTTAAAAACTCAAATCAACACCATTATAAAGTAACTGGTTTATTGACAGACATCACACGTTTTCATTCATTACATAAAAATACAAAGCAGTGAACAAAAATCTGCAGTATTCAGTGGACAGCAGATTTTTGAATATTCAGTCCGAGTCGTGTCTGCGTCGACGTTGCTGTGATGGGCGTGTGGATGGGGGTGAGCGTCTGCCATGCAAGCTCGGGCCTCTGGGGCCCCCAGGGCTGTGGGAGGGGCGTCCATGCCTGGACTTGTGTGGTGATGAGTCTCGGGTGCGCCTGGAATCCCTCCTCTCCCTGCCCTCCTGCGAGCTGTCAGAGTCGTGTCTGTGCCTTGATGTGTGTTGGTCTCTGATGGAAACGCCTTTCTGCTGCCTCGGCGGTGGTGGTGTGCGGCGTGGGCGCTTGTGGCTGCCACCAGGCCCATCTCTCTCCATGGAGCAATCCGAGTTGCTCCTGTGCCGAGGCCCAGGGAATCTCTCGTGCTCCTTTCTGCCATCGTATCTTGACTTTGTCTCCAGTTCCGATGGACGTGGAGATTGCCTCTGTTTACTGCGGACAAATAGAAAGTTACTGAAATGGTTTCAGAAATGCTATTGACACCAATGTCACGACCACCAATGCTATCTTCTAATCCATAGTGTTCAGTCACAATACTGCAGGTGACCAACCTGACGCTTTGGGCCTGTGCTTACCAAACAATGTGTGAAAATATCGATGTGAAAATCTGGGCAAGACTTACGTGCTGGAGAACCGTTTTCCATCGTCTGAGTCAGAGGACGAGCAGCCACTGATATTTGTATTTTTGGAGTGCTTTTTTTTCTTTTCTTTCTTACGTTTTTCTTTCTTAGATTTTTTTTTCTTATTCCTGCAATTGAAAACAATTTGCATTTAAATATAACTTGTTAATTTTACAATCTGCAATTTCATAATTAACGTAAACATCTTCAGATGGTGTTTTTATGGTACCTCTTTTGTTCTTTGTCTGTGTTCTCAGTAGTCACTTTCTTGTCAGCCTGATGATGCTGCAAAATTATAAAAAGATTAATGGAGTGTGTTGGTCAATTATCCTTGAAAGCTCAAACTGACAAACCCAAAATACAAGCAATAAGTCCCACCGTGAAGACAGCCAATCCTTGCTTTTGAGCCTCTTTGTCTTCCTTTGACAGCATATGGGAAGGGCTGCAAAAACATAAGGACAAAGCCACATTAAAAATAATCTTAAAATGCAATTATTCTTACATTCTGTTATCAAGATAATCCTCACCGTGAAGAGCCAAAACCAGAAACTCGCTCGATGTCCTTTTCATCCCTTTCCAATGTCCCTCGCTTGCAGATGTCCGCAAATTCCTGACAAGATAATACATTGAACACTGAAATTATGAGCATGTATAAATGTACTCTTTTGCCTAGTCGTATGCCTATTTTAGGACGCATGTACATGTTAAAAACCTAATCGTCACACTCACCTCGCGTGTCAGTCCAGTGGGCTGTTTCTTCACATTCTTGTATCCTCTGGAACGTTTTCAAAACATGAGAATGTCAAGTCGTAGCTTTTATTATCAGGAACCATATCTGGACAGTAAATGATGGCGTGTGCTCACCATTTGCTTAAAAAAATATTGGCAAACCCAGCTCATGTTTTCAATAAGACTATACAGTTCTGAACTTGTTATGGTTCCCAACTTAAACTGCACTCTAAGTTAAACAATTTGCGTGACTTAATATAATGCCACTGGGCGGTTTGTCTCACAGTGCAGTCATAAGTGCCTCCTCTTCAGCTTGCTTCACAGCCGCCAGCTCTTCTTGCCGAGACAGTGCCCGATTGGTCCCATCTTTATCCTTTGCGAACCATGATAGGTCCTTGCCCTTCTGCCAACGGCCCACGGGTGCCATCAGTGAATTTCCTGCACCAACGCGACATCACACAGTAACCAAAGATGATTATTTGTATTGGTGTAGTCACGTGCTACAAAGGTCCCAATCAAAGGTACAGTAAAAGTAACCTAAGGCTAAAAACTCACTGATTTGGAGTTGAAAGTCCACTTTATTAAACATCAATGTTGCTATTTAACTAATGGTGCATGAAGGGCCACTTTTTAAAGTATTACAATGCTACTTGGATGACTTCCTCAAGACTGCAAAATGTGTGAAACATGCACATCCTAGAGTTTGACGAAGGGTGAGGAGTGTTGAGGATTTTTTTTAAACGGAGGGGCGAAAAGTTACAGGCCAGAGGCAGTTAAGACTCCAAATTATGACACTTAACAGACAAAAAAAAAGTATTGAGCCTGAACTTGAACAGGGGAAAGGTCTGCAGAGAAGACGGCCAGGTAATGGGAATATCACACAATGGGGCTCACAACAGAGGAGCATCCACTACTTCAGCGAATTTTGATTGAGGGTTTTGAGTTTGGACAGACGGCCTTGGTTGCTGGAGCGGAGGACAATTGAAGGGTCGTGGAATATAGTTGACCGGAGGACAAACGGGAAACTCCTTGGAGGGTCCTGAAGACGGTGACGGCAATTTTGAACACATTTAAATGCAAACAAACTAGTGTTAAAACGTTTCGGGCCGTGCAAAAAAAGCACAATCCGTATGGTATGTGAGCTCCATGGAGAGTTTTCCCGATGCCATAGCTCCACGTGAAAAGTATGTGTCCACGTGAAAAGTATGTTTCCACCTGATATCGTGACGTTTGTCAGTAGCATTGGTTTAACACAGGAAACGCTGGACCGGATTCGACCTTCAGTATCTCATCAGCAATCAGCTTTGCTAAACCAATGCTTAACTGCTAGGCTTTTATATTTTTACGTGACGCGGCAAATATGGGAACGATGCATAGTCTATTTTAGTTAACACAATTTTATTATGGAGCGCTTTTTTACGAGAACTGTATCAACAGCATAGAATTACCATTAGTGTCGTTGTGAAGAATTCCTGTACGGTATAAGTAAAATAAGCAAATTTCGACTTCAAGTTTTCGTGACTACAGGAATTCATCTTATTGGTTCTTTCGGTAAAGTCACGTAGAAGGGAAATAATAAAAATAAAACAAAATTCTCACGACGTTTCGGCCACAACGCAAGCAGCCGTCTTCAGGTGAAGAACATGGCTGTCGGAAAGACAGCGTGGCCGAAACGTCGTGAGAATTTTATTTTGTTTTATTTTTATTATTTTATTATTTACCTTCTACGTGACTTTACCGAAAGAACCAAGAAGATAAAACAAGCAAACTACACGTTTTTCAAATGTCGTTTCATCAGATTATTTGGTTTCCCCACAACGACGTTGCTTATTTCGTGTTATGTATTATATCGTTTTGCGTGGAACTAAACCCCATATCAATTAGCGGCACGACATTCTGGGAGCGATGTAAAATATTGATGTTTGGTCTTTGTTGCTGTGCTTGTGAAATATCCGGGCAACTGGCTAAACAGGATAATCCGTGTAGCAAATAAACTCGCATCTATCAGCGAGCGCTTGTATACGTAACGATCTGACAGTTCACCGCCACTGGCCAAGCAAACCCCGACTCTTGCTGATGAGACACTGATGCCCGAGCCGGTCTACAATCTATTCCAAAGCCGCCGGAATGATTCACACCGAGTGGGCCGCGTGGCTCTGACGAAAAGTGCATAAAGAGCGCGGCCTGCTTCAGGCTGTGGCCAGGCCAGGCCGCCACCGCGTCTCACCCAGGTAGTTCTCCCTGTACTTGTCCGTCTTCACGTCGTCCCAGTTGAACTGGTCCTGGCCGCCCCGCACGCCTGCCCGTGTCGGGTGGTGCATCTCGCTGCTGGCGACGAATCGTCGACAGCAGCAACGGAGCGGCGCTGAGACACCGGCGGCCTCGGCCCTTGGCACTACTACCACCACCACCAACAAACAACAACAGCAGCAAAGGCGGCGGCTTCAATGCCACTGCAAACACTGTTATGTCCTTACACCAGCAGTGATGTACACGATTGTATATATATATAAATATCAACACAACCACTGCATTGGACGTACAATGATACGGTAAATAGAAGAGCCGACGTTTCGGGTGACGACCCCGTCCTTCTGTACAGAGGGCAAAGGTCGCGCTACAAGATGCCCTCTCGCGTCCCCATTGGTCCGCTGCGCTAACCACGTGATTTACGAAGAACCAATGGGTAGGCAGAGCGTTTAATGCCGGGTCAGTCGTCAGATCGTGGACAAGACTATCAATTCTAGATTTGAAGCTTTCGTGACTGCAAGGATTCATACTCTTAGGTTTTTTCGGTAAAGTCACGTAGGTAAAAATAAATAATAAAAATAATAGAAATTATAATTTTAAAAATATTTTAATTTAAAAAAATCTATTATTTCTATTATTTTTATTTAAAATAACAGAAACATAATAGAAATAAAAGGATATTAATAATTTAACTTCTATTATTATTTCTAGTATTTATTTTTACCTACGTGACTTTACCGAAAAAAAACAAAGAGTATAAAAAACTATAAATTGTAAATAACAATTAACCACGTAAATATATTATTTTACAGTTTAAACATACCGATGACGTGTCGGTGGCCAGTTTAACAAACGATTAAAACATCCGTTAGTAGCTGCCTCAGAACAGATACGGTCCATAAGCATTGTGCGTCGCGTCTCGAGATTTGCTGTTTTACTGGTAGGAACCACCTGGTTCCACCAGCCCACAGGGGATTATTGTGTCCGTCCGTCCGTCGTGCATCCAAAAATGGGAGGGGTCGGGCTGGGTGGAGAGGGAGGGTGGGGAGGGGCTGGGTGGGGAGGGGGGTGGGAAGGGTTTGGGAGGGTGGGGGGTGGAAGAGGTGGGGCTGGGTGGGGACGGTGGGGGGTGGGGAGGGGCTGGGTGGGGAGGGTGGGGCTGGGTGGGGAGTGGGAGGGGTGGGGCTGGGTGGGGAGGGGCTGGTCACCCCGTGGTGCCCTTATAAAACTCAACGTTTAACCTACTCACGCCGGCTTGTGTCCGCCCTCACAGTCAGGCATATTTGCGGAATACACCACGCCGCCGTTGACCCTGGCCATTGACCCAGCAACCTAACGTTCCTACCAGCTCCCTCCGCAGGAATGTGTTACTTACGCGATCTAACCCAAAAACCTTAATTGTGAATAAAATGCAAGCTTGAGCAATGCAGCACAACAAAAACAATCGCAGACCACACGAAAACAACACAGCCCTTCACAAATATAGCAACTATAATAACCAATCTTGATTTGAAGCTTCGTGAACATCCCCCATAGAGAATTTAATTATAAAAAAAAAACCTTGGCTCGGTTATCAGTTCTCCGCTTGTCTCTCTCAGAGAGGCTCTTAACGAAGACGACACTTGTGTCGCTGACCCTGACATCAAACCTGAACTATCGGCAGGGCTTGAGTGCAACCGCAACAAACAAAAAACAAGAAAACATCTTAAAGTGACTATGCGCAAACAGAAAAATCAAGGCAAACACATTCCTGCGGAGGGAGCTGGTAGGAACGTTGGGTTGCTCGGTCAATGGCCAGGGTCAACGGCGGCGTGGTGTATTCCGCAAATATGCCTGACTGTGAGGGCGGGCACAAGCCGGCGTGAGTAGGTTAAACGTTGAGTTTTATAAGGGCACCACGGGGTGACCAGCCCCTCCCCACCCAGCCCCACCCCTCCCACCCCCTCCCCACCCAGCCCCACCCCTCCCACTCCCTCCCCACCCAGCCCCACCCCTCCCACCCCCCACCCAGCCCCACCCTCCCCACTCAGCACCACACTCCCCATCCTCCCCTTTCCACCCTCCCCTCCACACCCAGCCCCTCCCCTCTCCACCCAGCCCCACCCCTCCCATTTTTGGATTCACGACGGACGGACGGACACAATAATCCCCTGTGGGCTGGTGTAACCAGGAGGTTCCTACCAGTATAACTGTGTCACGTAGACAACGCGCCAATTAGTTTCCTACCTCAGCCCACCGGTGTGTTGGAGAGTAAATCCACAACATTGAGAGAAATACAAATAATTTGAGCTACTCTGACCAGCTACAGGCTTAGTGTGGCCCGGAAGCGTGTTATTAAGTAATACATCTTACAAGTACAATTCCTCATAGAGGAAACGCATGCCAATTAACTGATTACTAATCTATCATATAATTACAATACCCCCTCCTTCCATCCAGCATCATCGGGTGATTTGCCAGAATAGTGAAGCAATCAATCCACCTGCTTCCAGTCTTAAATAGAGCAGCAGGACGATGTCATCACTGAACCCATCAGGTGCAGACATCACAGGCGTAGGAGGGGGTATTGTAATTATATGATCGATTAGTAATCAGTTAATTAGCATGTGTTTCCTCTATGAGGAATTGTAAGATGTACGTATTACTTAAACACATTCCAGCCCCACCCAGTCCCACCCTCCCCACTCAGCCCATCCCCACCCTCAGTTGGAGAGGGGCGGGGCTGGGGTCACGGGGAGGGGGCGGGGTCAGTTGGAGAGGGGCGGGGCTGTGGTCGCGGGGAGGGGGCGGGGTCAGTTGGAGAGGGGCGGGGCTGGGGTCGCGGGGGGGGGGCGGGGTCAGTTGGAGAGGGGCGGGGCTGGGGTCGCGGGGAGGGGGCGGGGTCAGTTGGAGAGGGGCGGGGCTGGGGTCACGGGGAGGGGCGGGGTCAGTTGGAGAGGGGCGGGGCTGGGGTCGCGGGGGAGGGGCGGGGTCAGTTGGAGAGGGGCGGGGCTGGGGTCGCGGGGAGGGGGCGGGGTCAGTTGGAGAGGGGCGGGGCTGGGGTCGCGGGGAGGGGGCGGGGTCAGTTGGAGAGGGGCGGGGCTGGGGTCACAGGGAGGGGGCGGGGTCAGTTTGAGAGGGGCGGGGCTGGGGTCGCGGGGAGGGGGCGGGGTCAGTTGGAGAGGGGCGGGGCTGGGGTCGCGGGGAGGGGGCGGAGTCAGTTGGAGAGGGGCGGGGCTGGGGTCGCGGGGAGGGGGCGGGGTCAGTTGGAGAGGGGCGGGGCTGGGGTCGCGGGGAGGGGGCGGGGCCGGTTGGAGAGGGGCGGGGCTGGGGTCGCGGGGAGGGGGCGGGGTCAGTTGGAGAGGGGCGGGGCTGGGGTCGCGGGGAGGGGGCGGGGTCAGTTGGAGAGGGGCGGGGCTGGGGTCACAGGGAGGGGGCGGGGTCAGTTGGAGAGGGGCGGGGCTGGGGTCGCGGGGAGGGGGGCGGGGTCAGTTGGAGAGGGGCGGGGCTGGGGTCGCGGGGAGGGGGCGGGAGTCAGTTGGAGAGGGGCGGGGCTGGGGTCGCGGGGAGGGGGCGGGGTCAGTTGGAGAGGGGCGGGGCTGGGGTCGCGGGGAGGGGGCGGGGTCAGTTGGAGAGGGGCGGGGCTGGGGTCGCGGGGAGGGGGCGGGGTCAGTTGGAGAGGGGCGGGGGCCGGGGGGCGGGTCAGTGGAGAGGGGCGGGGTCAGGGTCGGAGGGAGGGGCGGGGTCGTGGGGTCGGCGGGGCTGGGGTCGCGGGAGGGGCGGGGTCAGTTGGAGAGGGGCGGGGCTAGGGTCACGGGGTGGGGGGCGGGGTCAGTTGGAGAGGGGCGGGGCTGGGGTCGCGGGGAGGGGCGGGGTCAGTTGGAGAGGGGCGGGGCTAGGGTCACGGGTGGGGGCGGGGTCAGTTGGAGAGGGGCGGGGCTGGGGTCGCGGGGAGGGGGCGGAGTCAGTTGGAGAGGGGCGGGGCTGGGGTCGCGGGGAGGGGGCGGGGTCAGTTGGAGAGGGGCGGGGCTGGGGTCGCGGGGAGGGGGCGGGGTCAGTTGGAGAGGGGCGGGGCTGGGGTCGCGGGGAGGGGGCGGGGTCAGTTGGAGAGGGGCGGGGCTGGGGGTCGCGGGGAGGGGGCGGGGCTTACTGACGCGAGTTTGAAGATGGCGGCCGCCGCGGTGGAGTTGAATCGCGCGCAGTCGCTCCTGCACTGCGATCAGAAAACCTCCATAGACATCCTCCACCAGCTCGGTGAGCGCGGGGGTGACGGCGCGGTGACGGGGACACGAAGAGACCATAAAAAGGAGAGACGGGCACACGAAACGGGGACGAGGGAGACAAAGGCGCGCGGCGCGGGGCCGGTGTTCAATTCGGCTGAGTCACGCCTCGCCTAGAAGCCAGGCCGCGCGGCACATGCGCCTCAAGAAGAGTGTTGTGGTCCACTTCACGGGGTTTCTCGCAGTCATTTGTAGCGATTGTTAGCATTTATACACGCTAGTAGTAGTGGTTGTTGTGTCAGCAGTAGTAGCGCAGCTGTGTCTGGAGGTGTTCGTGCCCTAGGTGTAAATGGCTTCTGTTGGTGGAATTGTTTCAGTGGGTAAGTGTTAGTAGAGAAGTGTCCGCGTGAATAGTGTTATAATTAGTAGTGTGGTTGGTAGGGTTATTGTTTTAAACATGATTAATAATTAGTGTTGTAAAACCTATATTTGGAAATGTTCTTTTCATTGATAAGTATTGTTGCTTTGTAGTTGGTAGTTCTATTGTCAATATACTGTAGTATAATGGCTGTTATTAGTAATGTTTAATTTATTGGTTGTCAGTTATTTGGAAGTTTGTTATATTAATGTTAATATTACTGTATCAGTAATACTGGCATGAGTGGTGTATCCGTGTTGTTAGTGTTTAATGCGATAGCCTTGTTTAAGTGTTAATATTCTCCCTGTTACGCTTCTTTGTGGCGGCAACTCCTATAAATAAATCTCGTCTTCTCATTCGGACACGTTTTACTATAATCGTCATAAACTCCGGTTTCACCCGCCCCCCCGTTCCTGTTCCACAGCAGCCGTGCCAACAACCCATTAGAATTGTAGGTGATGACTATGCTCTTAAGTAAAATTAAACTGGTTCAGAGAGAAACCATATTATTACTTTGACTGCACACGTTTGCCTTTCTGAACCGACTTGTAATTTACACAAGCTCACAGGTGTACAATGCCAATTGGAAAGGAAACGGATGCCAAAAAATGTACCCACAATGCCGGCCTTTTAACTTCAATGAGTCATGCTTGTGTCCTCTCACCAGCCTCGTGGCACAAATTCCATTGCAGTGTTTACCTTGTATACCAGACGGGTGGTATAGCATTACGAAGACATTACACATAAGCATGTGGATTATCGCATCTATTTTTCATCCATACAGATTCGGAATGGGCTGAGATTCACAAAACAATGTTTGATGCTGTGGTGAAAAAAGTTGTTCGTAGGCTTGTTCACGCATGTGACTGTTATTTTAGGTGAGTGTAATGATGATTAGAAAAACTTTAGCAATAACACAGTTTTCAAAGCGTAGTCCTTTTCAGCTACAATTCTGATGGTTGGTGCACAACTGTTTTGGAACGGCGAATGGGAACATTGAGAGACGCAGTTAATGATTGAGAACCCAAGATAAAAGAGCTGGCAGTTAATTAGGGATGAACTTTAAAAACGTCTCTCCATGGTTAATTTATGATGAGCGTTATTAGTGTTATATTTTATAAAGTGTTCATTTATTACTAAAGTCGGTGATATTGCTGTTATGGCCATTGAAAATAATGTGTTTTATATTTTTTATGGAAAGTGTTCGTTTGTTTAATTATGTGCAATGTAATTGTAGAGGGTATATTTGTATTTTAATATTGTCTACTGGAGATGTATGCGTTATTTTATTTTAACATTTTTATGTTTTTTTAAGTGTTCAACTGAATGTTGTTCTGACTTTGAAATCTAGAGGACGCTGTTTTGCTGTAGCCAAATTTTACCAGTCATCCTCAACGCAGCTCCATATCCCCATGTTTATATGAAAATAATATTGTATTTTTGGAGAAGGTCTATTTTATTGTTATTGAAAATATGTTGATGGTCATCTTGATGTTCTTCTGGATGTGAACTCTGGTGCACATTCTTTTGCAAATTCGAAATTTTACCAATTTCTGTGCAAAAATATAGGATATTTTTTTTCTAAAATAAAGTGCGACTTGAAGTAACGGTTTGATTAACGTCACCTCTGCAGTCAAACGAGATGTGGAAGACGAGGATGAAGAAGCCATTCGGGTGAAGGAGCAGAGCATCCTGGAGCTGGGGGGGCTTTTGGCCAAGACTGGCCAGGCCGCCGGTATAAAATAACCCTCTCCAACCACACTATCCCACTCCTAACAACTTACATCTAATCATGCATAACTCGTTTTTCTTGCCTTTTATTGCTATGCACACTCTTACTAATATGCATGTGCAGGACATTTGCTGTTACATTGACATTGACCAAGTCTTATCTCTGCAAAAGTCTTTGAGTGCTGATGACATGGCCCATATGCCAATTCGTACTTTTATAAGTTGCATTTATTGGAAAGTCTTGCCACACAATATTGTTACGTCACAGCTCATGTCGCAACATCAGGGAGATGTGATTACACCTTCATGTCTATTGATTAAAATGTATATCCTAAACGTGTACTTTAGTGCGCATTTGAGCAGTTACCACATATACACAGTTCATAAACACATGGTCAAAGGCACTTTTAGGATTCTTATGGTTCATTGTTATTACATGGGGCCCACAGATTAAGTTATCTTTAGGAGTTCAACATTGATGGCAAAATGCTGAATTCTGGTGCCAAGTGTGGCATAGCCACATGAAATCTAGTTACACAAATAGTGACAATGTTTGTGTTCTAAGATTATAATTGGAAGCCAAATAACATCCCATTGATACAAGAAGCCACTTCTACAATGGAGATGTACAAGAATACATTTTGCATTTATTAAAGTAGACGTAGCAGTGTGGTTGTGATTAGAACATTTACTGAACTGGAATGTATGGAACTCCTCCGCTGATTTCACGCTCCGCTCTGTCCTTGCACGTCCTGTGCCTCAGAGCTGGGAGGGCTGCTCAAGTTTGTGCGGCCGTTCCTGAACTCTGTGAGCAAGGCGAAGGCGGCGCGCCTGGTGCGCTCGCTGCTCGACATGTTCCTGGACATGGAGGCGGCCACGGGGCAGGAGGTGCGTCTCTCTCTCTCTTCCCATGTAACCACACGCTTGCCGTCTCCTGTTCACCCCCAAGAGTGACAAAGCTTGGAATGCATCTTAAATAATGCTAAGCCCAAAGTCAGGTTATTTAATGGGGTCCACTGCTCATAATTTTATTTTTTTTATTTACTCCGGTCACAACTACTATCCATTTACTTTCGTTGTACCATGTCCTTCATAATTAAAGAGACAATAATTGTGTAACTTATATCAGAGCTATTTTGGTATATATCGAGTAGTAGATGGAGAATGACCCTTGTTCTCATGTGTTGAAAAATCTCCTCCGATGTTCTGCAAGATGGCAGATGTATCACATAATTAAAAAAATATAAACGTCTAATATGGTTAAAACTATTGTGGGTTATACCCCATTCACAACAATTGTTTTACTTAAATCATACTGACTTAAGTTATAGTATTATTTAAGTTACCTTAGTGATTTATTGAATTCCCTTGTCCAATAATACGTTTCATATGATTTACCATGCGATGACCTTGGATTGTGTATTTGCTGCACATTTGCGATGTATCGGTAATGCCGAGTTTGTCTGCTTCCTAGGTTGACTTGTGCTTGGAGTGCATTGAATGGGCCAAAGCAGAGAAGAGGACATTTCTGAGGCAGGCACTTGAGGTACAGAAAAAAAAATGTCATGGCCTTTTGCGACCAGTGCTTAAAGTAATATTCTGGCAAGGTATTTGCAAACATAAAATATTGTCATGACAAAGGTGTATTCATACTGCATGGGAGCGATGTTGGCATTAAGCAGACTTTTGCTCAAACGCTTACTAATAATTGGAACGTAAGGTGAACAAAGACTAATTGTTTTCTTATTAAAGCTAAGAAAAGATAATACAATTTGTAATCGGGCAAAGGCCCTTTCCAAGGGCACATGAGTGCTCCAGCAGAGGGGAAGGAACAACGTGTTGTCACGCTGAAGTTGATGTAATTGTAGGCTTCACTGAAGCACTCATGTTTCACTCCGATTGTGGCGTCTCACCACAGGCTCGGCTCGTGGCGCTTTATTTTGACACCAAGCGGTACCCAGAAGCCCTGCAGCTCGGTGAGTTGTCAAGCCTGCCTCTTGCTTTCACCCCATCCTCATCGTACTTTGCTTCAACTTATCAACCTCATTCTCCCCAATAGTTTTCCTGTGTTCATTCTTATTTTCATTGGTGGTCCTCACTGTTTTCCCCCATTACGCTTGAAGTGTCTTTTCCATATGCTATTGCTGTTGTTTAACACCATCCCTTTGCCAATTCCTGTTGCTCCAGCTGCTGTTTTGCTAATTGGCAATACTGTACTTCTAATATTTTTTCTCTTGGTGCTTTTTCTGATGTTGCTCCCGCTATTATTTCTGATGTTAATCCTGTTTCTCATTCTGTTCCATCTGCTGATTTTTGCTTCTGCTGCTTCTGCTGTTTATTCCACTACATGTACTGCTGTTGATTGTGCTGCTCCTCCCCCTGCTGCTACTGCAGGCTCCCAGCTGCTGCGGGAGCTGAAGAAGTTGGACGACAAGGCGCTGCTGGTGGAGGTGCAACTCATGGAGAGCAAGACCTACCACGCACTCAGCAACCTCCCGCGGGCGCGCGCAGCCCTCACGTCCGCACGCACCACGGCCAACGGCATCTACTGCCCCCCCAAGATGCAGGCGGCTCTTGACATGCAGTCAGGTGTGTGTGTTCATGCCGTGCTGTGTGTGTGAGAATTGTGCAAGTTAATTTGTATATTTTGGCAGCAGGGTGGCGCAGTGGTAATGCCCTGTGCCTCACAGCAAGAAGAATCTGTAACTGGTGTCGGCAAAATTCCCCAATGCTGAAATGTTACCTGCAAATTACTCAGTTGGGATTACACAAAGTAACATCACCCCTTCTGAAAAAACTTGACAGGACTGTCCTGAAAAAGAGTCTTTAAGGCTCAGTAAGGCTTTCCTGGATAAATTAGTGTATTATCAATACCTAAACTGCAATGCTAATGGCTAAGAGATACAGCATGTGGAGTAGAGATTAGTAGCCCACAAATCGATGAATTCTGATTCAGGTTTGGTGCATTGCATTACCTCTGGTGGCAGGAGGGGACATGTAAACTACTTGCATAGAGTACATATATAAATAATGAACACAATTCAATGCAAGTATTATGAGCATAATAATCGATATTAATGAATTGATGCATCATTACACCTCTGGATATTATGCATTATAATGCTATTTTTGTTTTAATAATGCAAGCTTGTGTTTGTCCTTCGTAACTCTGCCATAGCCGTATGATCTGTTCCTGGATCAGAATGGATGGTGCGTATTCACAATTCTGCATTGAGTGTATGTATGTTTAACTTCTTTTGCACGTGGCCAACCGCGCTAGTCGGAGGTGAGAGTAATTGACACGTGGGCACCGATCACTTTACACGAGCAGATTGTCAACATTGTCATTTTTGTACCCTAAGGAATAATCCATGCGGCTGAGGAGAAGGATTGGAAGACAGGCCTACTCCTACTTCTACGAAGCCTTCGAGGGATACGACTCCATCGACAGCCCAAGGGCCATCACTGCCCTCAAATACATGCTGCTGTGCAAGATCATGCTCAACACGTAAGTATTTCCACCCATCCGCTGGATATTTTTTTGACGTGCACCCTTGCAGATTTAGGGGGTTTCCATGCTGATTGCAGTGATCAGGTCTAGGAACGTGACTGTGCAGCTTGGCCATTTAGAGAAGGCATTTGCAGTAGAAATGCAAACATTAAAAACAATTTTTAACCAGGATAACTTTCAGGAGGGTACTGTATTGAAATGTTTTGGCAGTTTCATTAATGGGATTCTGTTTTGTGGGATGAAAGCCCAAAATGCTTGAGGGGTTTATAAAGCCTTCAGCACTTAGTATTCCTAAAGCGATTCACCATCCTACTGTATTATTAACCATGTTCAATCCTACTCGGCTTCTGATATTTGAGTTTTTGCACATTCGGGGTGATTTGATATTGGATAATTGCTGCCTTTCTTGAATGTGTCACAGGCCTGAAGATGTTCAGAACATAGTGAGTGGAAAGCTTGCCCTCCGCTACGCCGGCAGGAAGGTGAGACTTATTTTGTGCCGTTTAACAGCCCCAAATACTGACCGTTGGCAAAAAAAACACAATTTTAATGTAGCTATAGCTCTTGCTGACACGTGTCTTCTCTGTTTGCTGTTTTGCAGACAGACGCCATGAAAAGTATAGCGCAAGCAAGCAAAGACCGCTCCCTGTCAGATTTCAACAAGGTGAGATCCCCACTTGGTGTCATTCATTTCCTTGCACGTGTTATTTCCTGATATTTGCTTCTAAAAATATACAATCTGCAAAACAACAGCTCCTATCTATTTCAAAACCTACACAGGCTGTATGTCCCAGGTGTTCCAGCACAGTTTTGAAGCTTCAATGTGACCTTCAACCTGCAGTGGATAGATCATCGCTGATGGTGATGATGAAGAGTAAAATCAGTGACATGACTCAAGTTTTACAATTGGTCACATGACCGTAGCTTTAAAGTCTAATTTCTCTTGAATAAAAAAATCTAACTTATTTTGGAACGCCCCAAAATGCAAACTGGGTATTATTGTAAAGAGTTCTGTCGTATTTTAAATACCTGTATGCAAGTCTCTTGCGAATTAATGTATCCGTTACCTAAAGGCAGTCGAGGCCGATCCACGATGTTGAGTCTATTGATGCCACCATACCTTACTACTGAGAGCACCAAATCCTAATGACTAGACGAGCAGGCAGGGTAAAAGCTGTGTGTCCAGCATGGGGCTGGAACCTACGACCCTGAGATGAAGAGCCTCATGCTTGCCGGGCAGCCGTTGACCGACATGGCTTGCGGAGGCCTTCATCCAGCAGTTGATTAACAATGGCCTATGCATTTATTATTGTACCTTGCCATGCTTCCTTCTGCTTGATCCCACCGTTGTTGCAAAGCCAGTGTTGCTAAATGAGATGTCACATTGCTTGACTTAAGCTCATCATCATCATCGACCAGTTCGCTTATGGATGAAGGCTTCGCCATGCCTTCACTCTCCCTCATGCTCCTGCAGTGCGAAAAACCACTCAGCACCTGCACATCAGTCGATAAACTCGCTTATACCTCCTTGGTGGAGATACGGTCAGGCGGGCAGTGATGCGGGTTTTTTTTGCCACATTCTGTCCAGGCACTGTGCGAGTACAAGGAGGAGTTGCAGAACGACCCCATCATCGCGACGCATCTGGAGAAGCTCTATCAGAACCTCCTTGAGAAGAACCTCATCCGCGTCATTGAACCCTTCTCGAGGGTACAGGTACGAGCTCTCAGCTTTTCTCCCGCTGTATTAATATCATATACCTGTGATCGTGTTTCGGGAGCTGAGCTTGGTGGCTCCTGTAGAGATGTGCAAAACTCCCAGACCTGCTGGGCTGCAAAGTAGCCGATAGATGGCAGTAAAACAAATGTATAGCCATCCCGCGCCGTCCTCCCGCTACCATCTCTCTCTGCTCATGTTCTCATTGTGACAATTAACCTAAATGTGCCCAATGTCGTTGAATCTTTGATATTACAATTTTGATTCTGGTTATCTGAGAATACAAGGTGTTGTAGGCTTGGGTGGCGAGGTGGCCAGAAAGTTTGTTGTCCGTCCCCCGCACCTCCGATTAGCATGGTTGGCTACGTACGATGTACGAAAAGTTCTACATACATACAGTTGGCAGTACAACATTGGATTCTTGTGAGGAGCTTTTGAGTCGTATTCCGTGCAATGCATGGACTTTTTCCAGGAAATATGAGAAACACTGCTTTAAGGGGACTTAGTCAAACATTCCAATGTAGGAGCCTCCTGAAAAAGTCTTTAAACTTCATGCAGCACTTTTATTAAAATAAAAAAAATCCATATAAGTCTCAATTGTCATCCATTTCTTCAGCTTTAACACGTTGCTATATGTTTACTTTTAGATTGACCATGTGGCAACACTCATCAAGCTAAAGAAAGTAAGTACCTACTTGTGTTTTTGTTAAATCGCAGGATGAAGTAAATTATGCATATATTCATCCGTTATTATCATGCATTATACATGCATCATAATGGGCTTGGGAGACAAATAATTTATTATTCCTCTTTGTGATTGGTTTGTATAACCCCTGCAGTCACTATATAGGTCCTGCATTCACAACGTTAACATTTTCATTCATTCTTGAATCTGTCCTGATGCAAAATCATAACAATTGACTGGATTGTGAAGGGAGAGGTGAATTGTGCTTGTTTAACTCATTAACATTTTAGGGAATGTTTTTATTTCATCTCGTATGTTTCTTAACAGTTATTGCATTATTTTTAGAACTTGGTGGAAAAGAAGCTTTCACAAATGATTTTGGACAAGAAGTTCTACGGTAGGTTCTTTCAGCACAATGCAAATTCGGTAATGAGCAAAGGCAATCAATGCCTCAATGTGCATCTGTACACAACGCTTCTTAACTCTCACTACCATTGCAGTTCCGTTCTTCCCACCGATGCATATGCTTGAATTTTCCTGCACCTCCGATTTCCCGCACTTCCGATTACCATGGTTGGCTACGTACGGTGTGAAAGAAGTTCAGCACACATACGGAGCGGATGTGTGGCTTGGAGCTTCTCATTAACATCCACGCATGCGTGCGCATGTCCAGGCATCCTTGACCAGGGCGAGGGCGTCCTGATCGTGTGGGAGGAGCCGCCCGTGGACAAGACGTACGAGTCGGCGCTGGAGACAATACAGAGCATGAGCAAGGTGGTGGATGCGCTATACAACAAGGCAAAGAAGCTCACATAGGTGCGTATGCTGCAGACTCCACAGGGCGATGGCTCTGGTAAAGGTTTTACTTTGAAGGGGCCTCTATGCACTCGGGCGTGTTTGTGGCAGACTTTGCTAGGAACGGTTGCTGCGTATTTCTTTTGTAAAAATTGAGAGGTGTCCTGGTAAAAATTCATTACCCACACATACTCATTGCCTACAAAATATGAATTTTGTTCACATTAGGTAATTAATTATTACGTTTATCGTGCAGCCAAAAGTGGGTTGTTAAGTGTTCCAATGGAGTTGGTGTGGGTTATTGAAACATAATCGCTTTGTTGGCTTTCAGGTGTTTTTCCAAGGCCACCTCAGTTTTCTTGGTTCTTTCGGTAAAGTCACGTAGAAGGGAAGTAATAAAATAATAAAAATAAAACTAAAACATAATAAAACAATTGTTTTATTATGTTTTATTTTTATTATTTTATTACTTCCCTTCTACGTGACTTTACCGAAAGAACCAAGAAGATGAATCCCTGCAGTCACGAAAGCTTTAAATCGAAAGCCACCTCAGTTGTCAATGCCCAATTTGGACAATTTTTACGGATGCTCCCCCTAAGTGAGCAACTGGGATAGAAACTTTCAATCAGAGGTCAACATGACTAACCAAGGTTTTGTTCTCTGCAGACCAATATTCACGTAATTATTTTCGACAACTCTGCTTTCATAGGCTATACTGAACACCTGTCACTGTAGGCCAATGCTGTACCAAGTTGTCGTACCTGCCCACAGTAAATGTGTTCCTCGTGACAAGTTCGAGCCAATATTGCCCCATTGCATAATGGCCTTTACTCTCAGGTGGCTGATTATTCCTTGGGATTTAGAAATTACGATGATCCACCTCAACGCCCACACAAAACACTTCATATTATAACACTTACAACAATCTATTCACATTAATTAAATGTTTGTGCTGGCATTGTTTATTGTGGGTAAAACATACAGAATAATTATCTTTTTCATCGTGTAAAAAGAAAATCAGATTTTCCTCCATCAGCCAGTGAGACTTCCAGACCATTTGTTTTCTTGCAGCATGCTGTTTACAGAAGTTTGGCTTAATGGACCAAAATGTGAGATTACTCGTATGTATTAAATAAGACCCATGTTAATCATTCTGTACGAGTTTGTTTTGTTTACTTGTCTAATTGTTTCCTATTTTACCTGTGTTCCCCCACAGAATCAACTGTTATTCGACCCCTTTCCCCACCTGCCCCCCCAAACATCCCCAAATTCTCTTCCACCTTCTTCCCCTCCACTCCCCCATCTCACCCCCCCCCCCATCTCCCCACCACCCACACCAAGGCCAACCCCTCAGTCCCTGCCCAGTGGGAGTGAGTTGAAGAGAGGACGCTGCACGTGTGGTCGCTGAGTGTACCTGTGTGCGACCACTAGTGCTCTAGTCCCCTCTGTTAAAGAGCGTTCAACCCGGTTTTGTGTTTTATGCACGCAACAGTTTTATAAAGGATTCGCCACAGGCGTCGGCCACAAACCTTGGTCGCAGGTGAAACACGCGAGTGGCCCCCACACGAAAGGTGTTCCGTGGAGTTCGTGGGTTTGTGCTGCGGGAGGCACTCAGGAGGCACTCTGGGCTTCACTATCCAAGAGTGGGGGCTCACGTTTGTACGGGGTCCACTTCAAATACCACGTAATACTTCAGTACAATAAGTAAGCTCTGTCTGATTTTTGTACAACCGACGATAGTGCGATTGACGGCTAAAATATCTACGGACAAAGCTGCAAGGAAACACGACGAGGATGTGTTTTCAGGAGCAGTGTCACAAGTGCTGCAGTGGGATTTGTCGCACATGAGTACGAGTGTTAACGAATGTCATGCAAGGCACATTTGGGTACCTATGTTACTTGTGGCACTACTTCTGGTTGGCAACTGTGTGCACTATTTTTTTTGTTAAGTCCCAATTTTTTTTATTACGGTCATCTTTTCAGTAGTTGGCTCTGTCTATTCAAGTTCGTTCAGAACTTGCATTGCTTTTATAACACCTTGGTTGGCACGTGTCTGGTAGCTTTTGTTGTGCTGCACCGAGTAATGCAGCATTGGTAGCGCAGCAAAAGTAAAGCAGCAGTGCATTTTCAGCTGATATTTCTGCAGGGAAATGAAAAAAAAATCACCAACTGTGCAGAAAGTGAATGTGGATATCACAGGATCTGTTTTTGCAAATCCAAGTCGTGGTGTGCCAGACTTAGAATCCAAATTTCAAATTAAAAAGATTATTGATAGGAAAAAAAAAATTGCCAAGGTTTATCTGATATTTTTGAAGCGAGAAAACAAATCTCCAACGGGATTTCACCTGATGAAATAAAGGACACTTGATTGCATGGGAAGACCTGCCCTGCTGTTATTTTTAATGCCAATGATGCGCGTCTGCAGTCATGTCGATTTCTTCTGGTTTACGTTATTGTTTGAAGCGCGGTGGACCTGTGGTTATAACGAGGAAAGCCTCCAAGCCGTATCGTCCACAACCCGCCCTCCCCCACCACCGCACCCCTAACCCTACCATGACCTCGTCTGCACAGAGCGACTCGTCGCGCCGGCTGGGGAGGGCGTGCCGAGAGGATAACCTCTGGTCTATTCCTCAATAAAATCCGACGTTTTCCAAGAGTGTCGACATGTGTTTGACGTCTGGGTGAGACGCAGTCTTAAATGCTCACGGTGTCAAGATGAGCTATGTTAGCTTTCGAGAGTACAATCAGTGCAGCTGTACCAGGGCCAATGGGCCGGATGGGTCCTGTTGCTGTGTTTCCAGAGGGCGGAAGTTGGGCAGGAGGCCCCATTTAATTCCCTTCATCAGGCAGGGCCCATTCTAAACCACACCAAGGCACTGGCCAAGATGCACACACGTTATGAAACTTAATTCGGTAGACACAACACCTTTGGGAATTCAATTGGCATAATTTAGGGTGCGATTTGAAAAAGGCTTTAGCTTTTGTCTCATCGGAGTGTTTCGTTTTTGGCTCATTTGTACATCGTGTTCAATTTGTGAAAGTAACATGAAACCGTTAGCATGTATATTGAACTTGTTTCGCACCAACCGTGCTAATCGGCGGTACGGGGAAGTATAGTATGTATACATTGCAGGGCTTGCACGAATCGATGCATGTGATCTCTATTACCATAAAGAGGTTTCGGGTAGCACACGACCCTGGTCTGAGTTTTGAGACGAGTGGCAGCGAGCTGGTCCTGGGCCCCCCTCTTCAACCCGCATAGACCATCGTGGTTGTAGTATGGTCAAACAACCGCCATGACTGACAGCATGGGGAGGCCTTCATCCAGCAGTGGATTGACAGGGTTGTACATACACCCTGACATCGCACCCATCCCTCAAATTAAGCCTACTGCAGCAGTTGTGAAATTTCTAACTAACGTTGCCGATGATAACCTTGCGGTAGTCCAGAGGTCACCAGCCATATTCTTCCGGTCGACACTCGCGTTTGATGGCGGGTAACTTTACGTAATATGCCACCGCGACTTGTACTTCTCTTCCCGACGGGCCAAGCCAAATGGTCTTCGCAGGTCAAATCCGGCCCGCGTTCAGCCAGTTGACAATATTGAGACGTTATCGTGGCCAAAGCTGTTGATGCCAGCCTCCACGCCTCTTTGCCAACGCATTCTACCCTTGCTCAGATCCCGCAGCTGCCGCGCACTATCGGCATGCGCCCTCCAATATCTACCGTGAGTGTCCCACAATCTCGTGTTGGCTTTTTGCTTCGATAGCTGGAATCCATTTGAAGATACCCCCCCCCCCCATAAATAAAAAATCCTCAAGCGGCCGTGCCTCAACTTTCATCCGGTGTACATCTATACCTCCCCACCTCTTTCAAACGTTTGATCATTTGTGATTCACAGCCGCATTTTCTTTCATCGTGTCGTCTATTGTTTTTTTTAATTTAAATCCTTTATAGTAAGTCCACTTGCTTGCTTGCGCGCTTACGACCGTGCAAATCTTTCGGTCGTTTTTTAACCCACTTCCCGTGATCCAATCGAGCTGACATTTTGCACACAGACTCGTGCGTGACAATTTATTTTCGTGAAAATTTTTTCCCAAAATTTTCCACTTTTTAGGAAATTTTTTTTCATATTTAATTTAAAATACCAATGTGATAAAAATGAAACTCTTACTCAAGAAAAACAGAAATGAATAATACAATAAAACCGATGCCACGCATATAAAGGATTTATAGTGAAAAACGTTGTTTATCGGTCTCGTTTGGTGTTTGCGGCACCACGTTAGAGTAACACTCGAATATCGTTTGCATGGCCTATTGTCACGAATATTGACGCCGGAGTGACGGCCAAGGGATCTTTGACGCGTCCGAGTTCGTGTGAACGTGCTCGGAGTATTACAGCACAGGACTATGCGAGAGGGAACAGCTTCGAGGGGAATCCTTCATCTAGCAGTGCATTGGCCATGGCTGATGCCGATAAATCACCCGCACGAATCTGTGCATCACCTCTGGTAATCGATTTTCCCATCCGTCCCGTGGGTGCGCTGCAACGGACACTCCAGTGTGTTTCCCAAACCTCTGCGTGCATGCTTTGAAGTGATATTTAAACGAAAAAACAATCACCCTTTTGAATCATCCACGTGCCCAGCCCCCGCAGGAACACTGGCCGCTTGTGCTAATTGAGAAGTGTCTCTGTTCACGAGGCCCGCACGCGCTTTGAAGTTGCCGCCCCTCCTCCTCCCTGCCCGCGTGCAACTGCGCGCGAGGGCGATTCGGCGGAGGCAGCAGGGGGCGTAAGTTCGACAAGTCAGCGTCTGTCTCGTGGAGAACCCCGCCGCGATCTGTCATTGCGGTCAGGAAGTCGAAACAAGACAAAAGATCCCCCCCCCCCACCACCTCCTCCACGTAGCCTTTAACAGGCCGTTGCGGCAATTGCTGTTAGTGAGCACCTATTAAGGCCAGCACAGCACACGCGGGAGTTGCGTGGCCGGCACAACGCCCGTTCGCGTTTTGTCTCGCCAGTACTGATTTTTAGACGTCGCACTCATTTAAGGCTGAGTTGACATAGGGGAGGCCCACTATCGGCTCAGATATTCGTCACCGATGTTGGCCGTGAGCGTGAATCGAACTCGGGTCGCCGGGTTCATAGTACGGTTGGCTACGTACGGCGCGAAAGAAGTTCAACATACATCGCTCAGCGGCTAACCACTCCACATCTCCTCCCCACTAGGAGGATGTCCTTTATATTCTTCACAAACGTTCACTGTGCTGGCTGTCAACCCAAAGGATATGAGTTTGCCGCTCTAGTAGACTTCCAGTGTGTGACCTTTAAAATATTTGCATGATTTTTCCTGTGTGTGTGTTTACATGTAGGAGTGCACATGTCGTACTACATTTGAAAAAAAAAGTTTTGTTCGCTGCCTGGCTGGCGAGAGAGAGGGAAGGACGGATTGTGACGTCCCAAGGACACGCGGGCTACTTGTTACGTCGAAAATAAACCTAACTTGCCACCGATGTCATTAAAATTTCCCTGCGATTTTGTCTGCAAGCCAATTATAATAATAGGTCGATGACTAAAACGAAGATGATTATTGTATACGCTCAGACGCAGAACGGAGGTCTGTTTATGCATGATTTACCAACAGTGCTCCACAACGGGTCATTGATTTGTTCTGAAATAGACGTGTCTGGCAATGGTCCTTATTCAGAGTGGAGAGAGAGAGAGGGCAGAGAGATTGACCGGCTTGTAGTTGGAGATCGCGCTGTAGGTGGGAGCTTGAAAACAAATTAAAACTGGAGAAAGTTGATTTGAGCAACGTGGAATTGATATACGAACAGTACTACGTAGGAAGATATTGAATAGCCAGCTCAAACCAATATCAAATATAATAATTGGCCTTTTATCACTCCACCGCTGGATGAAGGCATCCATGTGCCATTTCGGTCAACAAGGGAGCTGTTTCTTCATACTTCACGTTGGTCTGTCATTGTGGCTTGGTGAAGATGTCGAATATCACATCAGACATCACTCCGCAATGATGTAAGCTGTGGTCAAGAGTCGAACTCAGGGTCACCAGGCTCAGCGAAAAAAACTGATTTAGATGTGTTTATGCATTATTGTGTGGCTGCACAACTGCATGACGGGACGGCAGGTCAGTGACTAACACAACTTGCATCACAGGAACTCAAACTGTAAGGTTAACACAAATACAACGATTCCTCTCCCCCCCCCCCCCCACTCCATGTACCCTTTAACAGATTGCTGAGGCAAGTGATGTTAGCGAGCACCTTTGAAGGCTGCTACGGCACACGAGGTCGTGGGTGGTGAACACCACCTAGGAGAGGCCCTCGGACCAATTCAGATATTTGTTACCGATGCTGGAAATTGAATTCGGGTCGCCGGATTCGTAGTGCAGTGCGCTCACCACAACTGTACCGCATTATGTTCACATGTCTCTTTGTAATTATCCATTTGTATTAATCCCTGCTTTGCCATGAAGTCAAAGTGTCCCGATCTCAAAATTGGACCACGACAGACAGATGCACAATTGGCTCATTCAGCTCCTGACATCAACCAGTGACATCACCGACACACTCATTCACCCACACACCCTTCCACTCACTCGCTCACACACACACACCGATCCGCACACACACTGGCCTCATTCACTCAACCAATGACACACGCTCACACACTTAATCGCTCTCTCGTCGCTCAGTCACTGTCCTGACTCACACTCTCACTCACGCTCTCCTCACTCACTGGCCTCACTCACACGCCCATTCACCGACGCAATGCCTCCACTCTCCCACTCGCTCACAATGGTATCGGCCATCTCACTCACACTCACTTACCCACGCACTCACACTCTTCTCATCCACTCACCATCAGCAGCAGCAGCAGCACAACCATCATCATCATCATGCTAATCAGCATTCTTTAAAAGCGCATTCTTTGGTAGCCCGCACATTCCAAGCACGTTCCACCCTCAACCCCCCATCCCTCGCTATGCGCCAAATTGCATTACAATAATGGGAATCCTTCTGCCAGGCGAACCGCTGGTGAGGTCACTATAATCTCCATAAGTTGAAAAGGGCCGTTGTTTATTTATTTATGTACTTGTTTATCTGTGCGCACGTGCCTCGCCTCCTCAATGGGCGAGCCGCAACAGAAGAGCCACCGGGACCTTCCACGTTGCCCGCGTCTCCCTCTCGCCGCCAACATCGCCGCGTCGCACGAGCGTCACACGCACTGCCTACACGCGCCCACGTGCTTATCGGCGTACGCGTTCGTGCGTGCGTGCGTGCACACGCATGAATATGTGTAGATAACATATGTGTGATCCACGGCTGTGGTCTCTAAGCATGGCCTACTACTTCTTGATGTCACACGTATTATCTGCACACCTATCCATCTATGTATGCCCCTATGCATTTGTATGTATGCACGCATGCATACAAATGCATAGGGGCATACACGATATCCATTGGTCATATGCATTATCTACACGTACCCATGTGTATATGTGTTTATGCTTACGGATACATGAAATGAATGGATTTTTTTGGTTAAATAATATCATACGTTTCCTGAAAAAATGTACATCGTTTCTTTCAGTGTAGAAATTTAATCCAAACCTCCAGCTATCATCCATATACGTATCCGAGTCACACATCGCCCCGGTCGATTACGTAAAAGAGAAGGCAGAAATATAAAGAGGAAAAGCGTGAAATACAAATAATTTAATAAATGTTCTATTTCTACCCAAAAAAAAAAATGTTCGCTGGATGTCGCGAAAACAACCGCATCAATTGTAATACGGGCCACACGTGATGGGTGGGCGGGTATGAGGGAGCGTGGCGGTGCCGGTTGGGGAGGGATGGAAGAGACGTGGGAATCCGCCAATAGAATCGCGCTGCCGGCGAAAAGGGGGGGGGGGGTGGGGGGGAAGGGCCGAGAGTTGCAGCGGGAGACGGGGGAGACGGCTCAGAGAGGGGAGAGAGTGCGAGGCGAGCGCCACGGAGAGAGGGAGTGGGAAGGCGCGCATCCCTTGTGAGCGGTGCCGCGCCGCGCGCGCCACTCACGCACGGCGCACGCCGCACGCCACCTCCGTCTCGCGCGGGGTCCGATCTCTCGCTCTCGACGTCTCTGTCTCGCTCTTAACGGTATCGCCACGTCGCCTCTTCGTACCGTCCGTCTCCCTCCACATCCCCATCCCCCTCTCCATGCCTTTCAGACTCACCCCACATCGCGCTGCGAGACCCCTGCTCTCCGCGAGACATTCGTTTCACGCTCCCGTCTCACCCGCTTGACAGTTCGTCGTTCGCAGCATTCACAGCGCGCGTCCGTGCGGACTGTATTTCATTCAAATCCATGCTTTTATTTTTGGTAACAATCGCACAAATTATCACTTATATTATTCATTAATTCGTTTCGCCTCCGCGCTGCGCCCCACTCTTCATCCGACGACGCCCGGGCAGCACTTCTGCTGCCCACGTGAGCCGGCCGGAGCCATGGGCACCGTCCTGTCCCTGTCCCCGTCCTCGCGCAAGGTCCGCTCCGTGGCGGACGATGGCCCCGCGTCGCTAGCGCGCTACACGGCGGTGCAGAACAGCAAGAACGCCAAGGAGAAGGGCCTCAAGCGCCACTCGATGCTCATCTCTGCGCTCACGTGGAAGCGCCTCGTGGCCGCCTCCACGCGCAAGAAGAGCGCGAAGAAGGCGAGCCCTGCCCTGGCGCAGGGGAACGGCGGCGGCGTCCTCCGCAAGTCGCTCTCGTGCGCCAACCTCAGCGCCTACTGCCAGCCTCCCGCACCGGTGAGACGCACGCAGATGGGTTACTCGAAACAACTCGACAGCCCTCAACCACTCAAGCTGCTACCACCCACCCACCCAACAACTGACATCCTCAACCACTCAAACTGCTACCACCCACCCACCCAACAACTGACATCCACAACCACTCAAGCTGCTACCACCCACCCACCCAACACCTGGAATCCTCAACCACTAAACCACTAAAAGACAATGATCTCCACGACAGTCCTAACATACTTTTTGGCGCAAGTTCTGTTCGCGAGTACCTATGAAGCCTGGCACAGCACACGAGGGGATGCGTGGCCAGCACCACGACTTGCCACATTTATCTCCTCCCCCCTTTGTCTCCCTCGTGGCGATGTTTACGCACCGCACCAGGTACTAATTTGAGGCTGAGTCGACCTAGGGGAGGCACAGTATCGGTTCAAATACCCACCACTGATATCGTTCGTGAGCGGGAATCGAGCTCGGGTCGACAGGTTTATAGCGCAGCGTGCTAACCATTGCGCCACCGCTCCCCACCATTTAACTATCCCCCCCCCATACCCTGGATACCAAACTTCAATCGCACCAAACACCACAAACCACCCCCCAAATCAAGCCCCCCCAAAATCACCCCACAAACTATCCATCATCCAATACGCCCCCCCCGCCAAACCCCTCAACCACAAATCCAATACTCCACAAGAACCACGCAACTACCACGTTCCATCAAACCACTCGACCTCCACCCCGACCGCAATCACCACCCCTCGCACCACCCTTCGTGAATGTGTCATTGTTTTACTCGCAAACCATTGTCAAGACCGATGTGTATTTATTTATTTTAAGGTTGAGTCTATTTAAGAAAGGTCCAGATCAGGTTAAGATAAATCAATACATTTCCGAGGTCCTGATTCTTGGGAGGCCTATAAATGTAAAATGTGGACTTTCGGGTGCATGTTTCTAGTTGCAGTAGAGGCACAGGCTTGACATTATTACCTGTACTCAATGTCTGCTCTCTCTCGCCCTTCTACAGCATCATCACAATTTACACCAGTCATTCGGCTTTGTAGCCCTTCTAGAACACCATCAAAATTCACCCGAGTCGCTCAGCTCTCTAGTCCTAGAGAATTCTAATTCGCATTGCCCAGTCACGATCGTCGTCTGTATGATGCAGATCTGTACTCGAGACAGATCATGAATTTAAGTATTTAAGCACAGATTAGGGCTCTACCCGCACGGCATGTTTATTGGGCTCCGCGGTGGGCGAAATGTTAACTACCTCGCCTGTTCTACGGGAGGTCAGGTGGATTTTTTTCCAGGTTCTCCGGTTTTTCCCTCCCCGTTTCGAATCAACATCACGCCTTTTAGAGTTTTTGGTAGCTGTAAATGTCCACACGATGAGCCACTTCGTTCAGGTATGATTTGTGGCCAGGTCGCTTCTGAAATAAGAGCTACACAGCTCAGTGGGCCTTACCTGGTAAAATGTAAATTATACTCTTCGTTTTTTCGGTAAAGTCACGTAGGTAAAAAATGAAATAAATAAAAACTAATAATTGTGAATTTTATTATTTTATTTTTATTTCTTTTTATTCCATTTTTTTACCTACGTGACTTTACCGAAAAAACTAAGAGTATGAATCCTTGCAGTCACGAAAGCTTCAAATCTAGAATTAAAATTTTAATTAGTTTACAGTTTCAATTCCAATAAATGCGAGCCAATGCATTGCCCCCCCTCCACTTACCACCTGAACAACCCCCCCTCTTTTAAAGAGAGCTCCGAGCGATACGCAGTTAACATTAATAATGCACGATACCACCCTTTGTCAATCCTTTGTTGGGTGAAGGTCTCCCCACGCTGCGTCGGTCGTGGGGTTTGTTTGAACATACTTCACCATGCTGGGCAGTGTGGGTTGTCGGTGAAGAGAAGTGGTGGCTTGGAGCCAGATTCGGTTCAGATATTACTCGCTTCTGATATAAGCCGTGGCCGGGAATCGAAATCAGGTTCAGATATTACTCGCTTCTGATATAAGCCGTGGCCGGGAATCGAACTCAGTTGGCCAGTTTTGGTGATTATCCCTCTGCGTCACTGCTCTCTCTCTCTCCCCATACCGACTGCACATTCAGCAGCCAGGCTATAGGATGTGTATTCGTGCCGTATCACGCGCGATTCAGTCTCACCGCCGGTCACGACCCAATCTCACGCGGCGCACAGGCTCAAGCTCGCTCTGTCTGCCGTCGCTGTGGATGTGTACGCTTGGTGATTCGTGGTTTTAAAAAAAAATATTAGTAGGAAATTGTCGATCTTCTTTCGTATGGCTGATGTCGATGCAGAGCAACAACTACATTTTCACATTCATGTGGTCGTCGATCCGCAATAGCCGAGTCAGGAGCAGCGGAGTGTATCGCTGCGATGTCCCCTTCATATTTGTGGACCGGGAGGTTGCGTCGTTATACGCTGTACGGTCTGTTCTGGATGACCACAGTCGCGGAGAGTTTTTATTTAAAAAAATTTATTTTACAATTGTCGATTAAAGTTGATGATAGGGAATTCGGGTTACAGCTTAGGTCAATACCAGCGACAGCGACCTAACCAATGTAGAACCATTGGATGATCTAATACAAGACCCTTAAATTATAGTCTCGACCCATTCAATACAGAACAACTGGTTCATCCAATGGAGAACCTTGATACATAAAATGCATAAAATGCATTCATCATACACAGATAAATTGATCAGTAACAGAATGCTTAATTCACACGATGCATAACCGTTGGATGAATCTATATCTCCCGTGTGACGCGACACAGGCCCAATGACCCATCCAATACACAACCACTGTTTTGTCAAAACATGGAACCACTGAGAGAATCCAATGCAGAACCACGAGCCTACCCAATACCGTGCCTCCCTCCATTCTCATCACCCCCACCCCACCACCACTCCGCCCCCCGACTGCGTCTCGCCATTGTGCCTTAATCTGGCTCGACGAGTGGCGGAAAATTCCGCCCGATCAATACCGCGAGTCAACGAGCGCTAACTGCCACCACGAGACGGGCGAACAATTCCTATCGACTGATAGATTCCCTGCAGATTGCGCTGACCGGCATAGCGCAGAGCGCTGAGATCGTCTTATCCGTGCACATATATGTACAGTTACTCGTATCAGTACGCACGAGTGCACGGAATGCGTGGTCGTGGTGGAGCGGAGGCGCAACGGTTACCGCACTGCGCTATTAATAGTGCAACCCGAGTTCGATTTTGCCCGCAAGCACGGGTTTAGCATCAGCGGCGAGTCTGAAATCGGTGCTTTTGGGCGCCTTGCCCATTCACCAACCCCGCACTGACTAGCGTGGTGAAGTATGGTCAAACAAACCTGAATGACCAACGCCACTATGGGGGAGACATCGACCAGCCGGGGGCTTGGTAAAGGGTTGTATATTATCACGAGTATTCATTATACGAAATGCACGTGACGCGTTGGTTTGTCAGGGCTTTCCTTGCGAATGCACACTCGATCTGTGGTTATGTCGATGCGACCGGGTCGTTATCGCTCAGAACACTGTGTAATAAAAATACATATGAGTAGGAAGTGTTCTTTTCTAATTGCTTATGCCTCAAAAGTACAGAAAACGGCTATTATTCCCTACAAACTTTGTTTTTGTGACCAGGACAGTGACATTTTGAAATTGACCTATTTTCAATGAGAAAACGTGTGCATTTGTGTCATTCCTTCACGTAAAGTCGTGGTCACAAAAGCAACGTTTGTGGGGAATAATGGCCATTTTCTATACTTTTGAGGCATAAGCAATTAGAAAAGAAACACTTACTACCCAGGGACAAAAGTCGTGTTACATGGTGAAATCAGCCGATCGACAGTGCCTTGCCAGGGACGCAAGCTGACTCAAGCTGTGTGTATGCGCCGGGAACGTCTCGTGGTGTGAAACGGAAACAAACCCAATTACAATATGAATATCCCATTATCCTAATGCGATTAAATCAATCACGAACGGCGTGGATCCGTGACATGGCACGAACGTGAGAGACGACGATGCATTCGTTAGGGAGGCTTTCATCCAGCGGTGGATTGAGCATGGCTGAGGATAATGTGTAGGTGCTGGTCTGCGTTGCAGTGTCATTATCCAACACATGAGTCGTTGGGTGTACATCTTAACGTGCTGTAAGGGCTAGAAATCTTAACATTTGGAACAATATCATTGTTAAGTAGAAAACATCCGAGGACCAAAATAGCGACTTTCGAACCCCAGACATCACGGTGTGCATGTTGACTGGGTTCACTCACATCATCGCTCAGTTACAACAATCATTCAGACGCACGCATAAAATGACCGCCACCGTTATCATTGCAATTGGTGGGTCTCCCTCCCTCGTTCAAATCCCAAGTTTCAAATCGACTCCGCATATCACCCCCTCCCTGCTAAGGTCGACAAAAAAAAACGAGGACTAATTTGTAGGACGTCAGTCAGTTTATTTCGGGTAAGCCCAATTGAACCAATACGCAATTTTTCACCAGCTCTTGTCAATACATGGACTCGCTCCGTCAGAGGAATGTGGAATTTCCACTAGGAGCCAAGGGGCTGTGAAAGGGGAGGCAGAACGCCTCTCCACCACTTTGACGCGAATCCAAGTCGACTCGTGTTCGAGTCGAATCCGATCGCCCGTTCGTTGCAGCCACGCAGACACAGAACCTCACGTTACCACGAAGCACCGTCAAATATCTCTCTTTGTTCGAGATTCGCAACACATCCATCGAATCGCGCGTGTGGAGGAATCGAGGGGTTTCGAGTAGTAGACGGTGTAGGTTAAAATGATTGCGTTGCGATCGAAACGTCGTGAAATATGATTTTTTTGTTTTTATTTTATTTTTCTACCTACGTGACTTTACCGAAAGAACCAAAGAGTATGGATTCCTGCAGTCACGAAAGCTTCAAGATTAAAATGATTAACTTGACCCCCTGCAGCCGCCAGAGGCCGCTACATTCGCCGCAACACAAATGGTTCAATCGGTTCTTGGATTGAATCTTGAACCTGAATCGTGATAATTCGTCGAATCTTTATTCATCAGCCAGATTACGGGGGGCGGCGGCGGCGGGGGGGGAGTCAGGTGATCTTCACGACTACTCCCTCTGCCTCATCTTCACGCCACATCTAGGCAATTCCATCTCCAGCAACATTCGCGGTGTATTGTGATTCTACTGCTGGATGAAGGCATCCCCACGCCGTGCAGGTCGTGGCGCGCTGGAGCGGCGGGGGAGGGGAGGGGGGGTGTGTAACCATACTCCACCACATTGGTCAGTCCGTGTTTGTGACGACGGTGGGCCTGGATCTGTTCAGATGTTTACGCGCCACTCGTGTTGGCCACGTGCGGGAATCGAATATAATTGCGCGGGATTCACAGCGCCGCCGTTCCACCGATCGCCAAACTCTGCCCACCGGGGCAGCTATTGTCTGGGCAGACGGTGCCAACTGCCCCAGGGGCACAGGTGCCGGTATACAAAGTGGGAGGGGGGGGGGGTGTAAATTTGGCAGGGTTGGAAGGAGGAGGGGTTGCATTGAAAACGTTTTGCCTGCAGGGTCAATAACACCCCCAAGCACGTCGTGACTGCTGCACATCTGCCCCCTGCACTTCGTACTTCTCTCTGACCTGCTTGTCGTCGTGGTGGTGGCGTGCGTGTGTGTGCTCGCGCTCGCGCTCACACACACACACAGGTGTTACCGGGGGGCGGAAAGGCGGCCCCACCTCCCTCGTACCAGCAGCAGCAACAGCAACAGCTGCAGCAGGTGTCGTCCAAGAAGCCGGGGTCGGGCACCTCGCTGCTGCGGAGCCCGCCGCGCCGCGTCGTCGTCCAGGCCTCCACCTCGGAGCTGCTCAAGTGCCTGGGCGAGTTCCTGTGCCGCCGCTGCTCCCGCCTGCGCCACCTGTCCCCGTCGGAGCCGGGCCTGTGGCTGCGCGCCGTCGACCGGTCCCTGCTGCTGCAGGGCTGGCAGGACCAGGCGTTCGTGACGCCCGTCAACGTCGTCTTCGTCTACCTGCTGTGCCGCGAGGCGGTGAGCGCGCACACGGGCAGCGAGCACGAGCTGCGAGCGGCGCTGCTCACCTGCCTCTACCTGTCCTACTCCTACATGGGCAACGAGATCTCGTACCCGCTCAAGCCGTTCCTCGTGGAGAGCAGCCGGGACGCCTTCTGGGAGCGATGCCTGCGCATCATCGACCTCATGAGCGCGCACATGCTGCGCATCAACGCCGACCCGCACTACTTCACGCAGGTGTTCGCCGAGCTCAAGGAGGAGGGAGCTCGCGACCTGCAGCCTCGGTGGACGTTCACGCTCGACCGGTAGCCGCGCTCGCTGTGTCCTACTGTGTGCGAGGATTTGGAGAAGAAGATGATGAAAAATACGGCGATGATGGATACAAGAGGTTCATACTTGATTCGGGGGGGGGGGGGGAGGGGGTTGAGGTGCGTTACGGGCGTAGATTGTCGCTTCAGTGGTGATGCGAGTCGAGGAGAGTGAGTGGATTTAATAGGTCGCGTCCCGATAGGAGATGGGATTGAAGGAGCTATGAGTCGCCGTGCTGTAGATGTCACTCACTCGCAGAGCCCCACGCTTACAGTCCCGTTTCTATTGTAAATATGCATACACACATACACAGGTGTACCATATTCATTAACACACCGTTACAAACACGTCCACACACAATGTTGCAAACAAACACACATACAGCCACATACATTGTTCAACACACACACATTTTACCATACATACACCCCGCCACACCCCCCCCCACCGCGCACTCATAATGTTCCATACGTACAGTCCTTTACGTACACACACACATCGTTTCTCAATATACGTATACACTGCTCAATACAGACCCTTACTCATAAACACACAAACAGTAGTCAAAGCCCCAAAGACATAAACACTGTTCCACTCACACACACACACAGCCCCATACACACAATATACACGGTCACACACACACAGCCCCATACACACAATATACACGGTCACACACACATAGCCCCATACACACAATACACACGGTCACACACACACACAGCCCCATACACACAATACACACGGTCACACACACACACACACAGCCCCATTCACACAATACACACGCACACACACACAGCCCCATACACACAATATACACGGTCACACACACATAGCCCCATACACACAATATACACGGTCACACACACACACAGCCCCATACACACAATACACACGCACACACACACACACGCGTGCACACAGCCCCATATACACGCACACACACGCAGACACAGTCCCGTACACAATACACACAGTCTCACACGCACACACACAGCCCCATACATACAAGACACACACACGGTCACGCATTATACAATGACACACCCCCCCCACTCCACACTGTCCCGCCCACTCTGACCCCACGGCTGTCCCTGGTTGAGGTCATACAGAACAATGCCACAATAACTGTCCAGCTGATGTCCCCTCTGCGGATCAAATGCCCATGCACCGACTCCCTCGAGCCCGGGTATCTCACTCCGTGCGCGTTGGCTGCGCGAGTGCGAACGACTGAAACAACTTGACGTCAGCAAGGCTTCGGCTGGCTAGACGTACTTTATTATATGTGTGGAGGGTACGGGGGCGCCGACGAGTTATGATTTCGCGAGATGCGGAACCCCAAAGGACGAACGCCGAGGGAAATGAAACGCAGCATTGTGAGTTTGAGGATCGTGAAACGGCAGCAAAGGAAACTCGGTCAAGTCACTTTGTAAATTCACTTCCTATCATTCTCACGGGAGGGAAGTGGGGTCTGTATGTCTGGAGGGGGGGGGGGTGGAGGACGTGGGGGAGGGGGAAAGAAAATGTGTGCTCCCCCCAGCCCCTCCCCTCAACCTCCACCCCCCCCCCCATCGACCTAATTTCCATCAACTCAACCAATGCCCGATGATGGCCCACATGTGGCTGCGAGCAAATTAACGACTCTATCGTCATCTGTCACGATCAATCCACTGCCGGATGACGGCCCTCTCCAAGCACTCCGTCGCCATCTCTCACGGCCCTGCGATGGAACAATCCATCTGGCAGGCGAGCCGATTCCATCGCTTCCTCTCCGCGCTCAAGATACACGTGAGAGAGCAGGGGGCGACCTGAAATATGTACGAATCTCGATGTGAAGGGCGAATACTTCGGACGAAGGACTTGATCCAAGGGCGACTTACTCGATTGTATAGATGGACGACACATCCCGTCGACAACTGCCTGCTCTGATGAGAAGGCGCCTGTGTTGTATCTAATTTGTTGTTGTTGTTGGTGGTTGTTGAACTGTTTGCTGGAGGTCACTTTGGTGTCCGGGTGATGAATCGTCGATGGACAAGACACTCTTTTATTTACACCACGCCCCTCCTGTGTTAATCCACTGCTGGGCGAAGATATCTCTGCCCACGTTGTGTGCCAGTCACGGGGGCCTGTTTGACCATGCTGGGTTGGTGAGTGTTCGTGAAATGTGGGTTGGAGCTAGGCACCGGTTCAGATATCACTCGTCACTGACGATGGTTAGCCGTGGCCTGGAATCGAAATCGGGTTGGGCGAGTTCTTTGTGCAGTGAGGGGCCACAACCGCTGCGCCACCACTCAAACTGAGTTGCTAAGGTATGTGGGTCAGCAGAGTGGCAACCGGTACGGTGTCGACTTAACGGTTCAAAGTTGAAGCAACACAAAACGATGCGGAATAGAGAGAATGGCACCGCAAAGAAATCGATAGCTGTTTTGAGAACGTGAACACGTTTCAGCAGCTATGCTCAAACCACGCCCGTTTTGTCGATAATAAGAATGAATTCGAATATTACGCCCGACTTTTGTTAGGAAGGAAAGGGATTAAAAAAATAGCAAACATAGTTATTACAACAACAAAAAACAACATTTGGAAATGTTAAACAAAGGAACTCGCTTTGGCAGTGGGGCTCAGAAGAACAAATGAATAGAACGCTCACTAGGTTCGTCATTAAATACTCTCAAGGCCGCCCAACCACTCTGAAGAATGGCCACTGCTCCCAACGTTATCCTGTTAAATCGACTAACGTTTGTAGCGATAACAGACATCATCAGCATCTCGTCACTTTATTATTTAACACGGTACTTCGCTTGTGCGTTTATACATGCGGTCACGTCTCGATCGCGCAGTCGTGTCAATCAGCAGCAGCATACTGACCATCACTTTATTTATTAGTGCGTGTAAATAATAATTAACATACACGCGCATGCGATAAAAAACACAACACGACGATCTTAATGATCGTGAGAATCAATTACTTTGATGTGTAGCGCCCTCGATGCTGGGGCAGCCCATCTCAAACATTTGAAGGGGCACCCCCTGGGGCAGCTGGCCCTGTGGGAACAGAGGTGTCTCACCACCTGGCCTGCAAAACGGGCATTAGTGTGCCAAGTATGATCGGGCAAGGTGGGAGGTGGGGGGGCGCGGAGTGATTTCTGCTGCTGTGTATAATCTCAACTGAGCATTTTGCGCGTAATTTCTAATTCGGCGAACGGTGTCAAATCTCAAACGCATCAATGTGAAACAGGGCGGCCGCAATAACGCGATCGTCGCCGTCAATGTAAACCGGGTTGCATCGGACGTCGGTGACGAACGTGTCGAGTGGCGAGCGAGCAGGAACGCGGCGCCACGCGCGTTCGCGTCGTGCGTGGAGGTGCGATCGGCCGCGTCGTCGAGAACCCCCCAACCCCACGCGTTGATCCCGGCGCGGTGGCTCCCTCGTGACAGTCGGAGCCGAGTGCGGTCGGCCCCGCGGGCTCCAGGGTCGCGAGAGGCGGCGTCGCTGCTAATCCCGCGCGCCATCTGTTGAGCGGAGCAGCTCGATGGGGGGTCGTGAACACGAGGCTGTGTCCACGCACAGCTCGCCACCACGCTCTTGCCTTGTGCCGGCCAGCCCCGTAGCGTGACCCCGTTTAAGGGGGGGATACACAAACTCAGGGGAGGGAGGCACGGCAGAGTCAACGTCAAACAAACGGTAGAGACAGGCGTACGGCCACAAACAGGACTGGTGACGATCATTCTATCCGAGTTGTCGATCGTTCTTTGGGCAATTGCTCTCGTCACCGTAAATGGTCACAAACGGCAGAGGCGCAGGCCTGCAATCGCTTTGCTCACGCGACTGACTGCTAGCGGAAGGGTGTCCTCGAGATCATTCGACAGGAGACAAGACTGCGACGCCCATCTCTTCAATGTACCGAACCTCATGTTTTGTCGTGCCCATCCCATATTAGACGAAGAGGGGGTGACTGAGCCTTTAGCAAGGGGATGGAAATCAGCACCCCCCCTCCCCACCACCCCGATGCCTCGTGCTATGTCCATCGCACGTGGACGGGAGCACAACACAAAAGAGCGACCTTGGAAGGTCGCGTTTCTGTGTTGCTCGGTGCCAACGCGACGCGATGATCCTCCAGAGCGGAGGGCTGCGATTGGTCAGCTCTTCCGCGTGTTGGTAACAACAACGACAACAATAACAACCCAGGGTTGTCCGCGACGCTGTTGTTCCACCGCGACAAATCCGTCTAACCTTGCTCCACTTGTGTATGGGTGATTCGCGCACGTGTGTTCGTGTGTGTGTGCCTGCTTATGATGGAGGAGGCTCGTGAAGGACGCCACTGGGCAGTTGGAGGCAGTCGCCCTCCAACAACAACGGAGGGCAAGAGGAGCGACGCTCACAACAATGAGCGGAGCGCCGGGCAGATAAAATGCTGCAAGTTGGCACAGTAGGGGGTATAGCTGGTGCATCTACCAGTCATCTCAGTCAGCCGACCCATGGCACCTGGGTCTGTCCCGTGACCTGTTAGTTAGCCTTCGACACTTCACGTGGCCTCAAGGTGCACCTGGCCTGGCACAGGCGCCGTGGTGACGTCACTGTAACTTAGTGGCGAATGGTGGCTGTTGGTTTTGGTTTATGATGCGACGGTTACCGAGCGCCTGGGGGTTACGACGCGTTAACAACAACAAAAAACAACGAAATGGAGCGAGTCGGCGAGAGCGATACAGGGTGGAGATGTTAAACGATTAATCGATTGGCAGATTAGTGGTGTTTTCTCAAACGTCTGTACATGCGAAAAAAAAAAAAGCTGGGGCGACGTGAGTCGCAGGAATTAACGAGTTTCCATCGTTAACGTGTGACCAGAGTCAAATAACCAAACAGCGTTGACGCAATGGACATGTCACGTGCTGGCTACAGGTGTCGATGTGCATGATGATCGGCCCCGTACGCCTGCACCTGACCAGGAATTTCTTCTGGAAGTTTCGATTGGGCGCTGTGCGCTGCCACGTTAACACTTCGTCAACGACTTAGTTGACCCATTCACGACGCCGGCAATAGGTCTCTCTGTGCGAGTGTAATTATCCCAACTGTAAAATATAAAAGATGTACGATAATTTAATTAATAACAATGGCATTTTCCAACCGTTTTGTCAATCTGCTGCTGGGTGAAAGCCTCCCTACACCCCGTGGCGGTCTTAGAAGTTGTTTGACCATACCTCACGCTCGTCAGGTCGTTTAAGCGCCAATAAATGAGAAGGATTCATAGCACAGTGCGCCAACCACTGCGCCACCGCTCCCCAAACAATTCAATGCAACCAGCAAAATGTATATCCACATGATCTCAACGGCTTAGACGAAGGACACTGTTCGAACCAACGGAGCGATCGTGGCTTCTTCATTGCGCGGGTGGTGATCGTGGAAGCCACGATGCAGCCTCGCCATCGAGTGTGCAGGCGGTGCAACTGCACCGGGACCCCACGGGATGGAGGAGCCCAGACGCCGGGCTACACATTGGCCCCATTTTATTCTTTGCACCCAGGGCTCGTGCTAACGACGCTACGCCATGGGTACACAGAGTGGACCCGTGGGGAGGGAGACTTAAACACAAGTATATGGGACTCGTCCACACGTGACTGCAATAGAGGTGGTTTTGTACTTTTACAAGTTATCTTTGTGGCCGTGCACCATCAGTGCTGCATAACAATGCAACTCTACAGATAAGAGAAAAAACAACAACAACAACAACGTGATTTATAAGTGAGACGCCGGAGTTGGATGGACCTGGTCCGGCACGCGATTCATGAACTTACTTCTGTACAGTTGTTATTCAAGAGGCATCTCTAAGACTTTATTGGTCAGACTAAGGCAGCTTAAAGGCGACGACCGACGCAACAGACATATTTATTCTAAAAAGAGGTATAACTAGGACAAAACAACAAACCATTGCGGCATGAACTATGTTTTTGTTATTATTATTGTTGTTGTTGTGAATTGTGGTCGATTTTCAGGGCAGGGTGTATTGGAAATTGGGTCTTCTCAGAAGACAAAAACACGGGCCCCATCATGCGTGTGAAGTGCGCTTGCCAATAAAAGCTGTCAGCCCGGCAGCATTTGTTTAACAGGTCGGACTGCTGGTGAGACCCACAAAGTCGAAATCGGCCCAGAGTTTGCCTCGCTTGTGCAAATTCTGCTGAAAAGCGTTGGTATGGAAAAGGCTCATGGGATGATTCACTGAATTAGTTTTTTTGTTTGTTTTGGATGTAGAGAGAAATTGTTTTTGTAAGAGCTGGGGTTTAGAGCACGGCAGCATTCCCAGGGTCAGCGTTAATCAGGGAGAGCGGGGGGGGGGGTCAACACGTGCCAAAGGCTCATTTAGCCAGACTAAGGTACCCCTCACTCGATACGCGCGAGAGATGTTACCCAACGTGAACCTCCATTGTGTTACATCAATGATTCCCGTGCAGTTGTCACGACGACTCGATATAATTTAGTTCACTATCTTGCGTGATGAGCCGGGCAGCCAGGTGCTAATGGGCTTAAGAATTAAGTCCACAACTTTTAAGTAACCCAATCTCATTCATTATTTAGGCAAACAACTGTCGCGCAAATCATTTGCTCGTCCTGGGAATAGCATCGACAGCCGGCGTAAGCCTTTCTCCGCCGTCAACGAAAAGGCGCGCGTGTCTGCGTTCGAGCCCCAACTCGAACCCATAACCCAGGAACGAGCCTTTCGTGCCCAGAACGATCGGTCATGCGCGATGCACGACTGCCAAGTGGGGCTCGTTTTAAAAGAGAAGAATAACCAATCGATATGACTAGTTTGTTTGTGTATTTATCTATTTATTTATTTGTAAAAAAAAAATGTTAATCCTGGCTGAAACCTTGACAACAGCAGCAGCAGCAACAGCGAAAACGACAGCAGCCCGAGGCAGTGCACATCCACGCTTCGCTGCCGTTTCACTGGAACGTTTGCTTGTTTTTTGGTAGCGTTCCCTTCGCTATCGCGTCCATAGCTGCACGTTTTGGATGTGCCAGTGTTCGTTTGAGCTCATTAGGAGTCGCGTAGTTGCTCAGCTGTTTGTGCTGCGGTAGCACAGCGCGTGGGTGTCGGTGGGGGGGGGTGGAAGGGAGACGGAATCCGTTTCGTTTCCAGCCCCCCAAAATATTCTGCTTTGTGCGCGTGCGTGGGCGCGCGCGTATGTTGTGTGCGCGCGCGCGTGCGCGTATGTGTGTGCGCGCGCGCGTGCGCGTATGTGTGTGCGCGCGCGGGTGTCGGCGTGCGTGCGTGTGTAGGCGTGCGGTGTTCACGCGTCTGTTTCGAAACTTTACGGCAATGTTTTTTTCCCGCTGTTATCGCCTCGGAGGAGAAGCTTTAGGGGGAAGTTATGATGAATTATTTGCTGTTATCGCAGACTGATTTAAATAGACGTCACTTCTTCAAACGCTCATCCCATCAAAGATCAAAACAGTGAGCGACTTGTTCAAACAGGGTGCCACTTCGCACGTGGGAGGGAGTTCCACAGAGTAGGCAACTTCGGTCAGAATTTCAATTCGCCCTAAAAATAGGTACAGCAATTCGCAGTGGTGTTTTTCTTCTTCAAAATACGAATTATTTACGGAAAAAATTCACGGTTTTCCACGAAAACTGCAATTCACCCTCGCCGTGGCATTTTATGAGCAGTTTTCTGTTATCGTTATGTTATTGAGCATGTGCTCAAGTGGACAACATCATTTACATCTGAATTACGGTCTTAAGTGGTTGACTAAATTCCCGAGTAAAAAAAACTCACACGGCATGAGCATTACCCATGTCACGTGTCGGAAATGTCCGACGAGAGATCTTGGAAATGCCTGCCGCCCCATGGCACGAGTCTCCTTTTGACCTGTGCCGGGGGTGACACGAAGACGCGTCCGTTGTTGCGGCGTGGGTGGGGAGCGCGCTGCGTGCTTTCTTGACGCGTTACCAAACAAAAGCCAATCAATCTCGCCACCCTCATTCTCTCTGCTTTGAAGAAGGTCCCATTGTTTGAAGCATCTTTTTTTTCTGTCATAAAGTGTGATGAGTTTGCTTGAATTCGTGGCCCATATAATAATAATGTAATAGTACTCATTAACAGCCTTTTGTCATTCCACTGCTGGATGAAGGCTTCCACGCGCCGCGTTGGTGCTGGAGATTGTTTGATCAGACTTCACCACGCTGGGCCAGAATTGAACTCGTGACCGATACAGCGGACAAGCATTCTGGGTAGGGAGCTTACACTTTACCGGCCAACAATTTACCGTACGTGTTTGATGACTTACGCCTCATCACATCCAATGGGCTTGAAACATTTTCTTGTAACAAAAAAAATCGGACCGAAAGTCAACATTCGCCAACAACTCATGGAAATCCGGCTATTCACGACCCAATCGACGCAGCAGTAACACCAATTGCAACACAACACGTGCGTGTTTGAACCACGTGGATCCATAACACACGTGTTTCATAAACACGTGATATCAGCCACTATCTTCTGAACTTCCATAGTATTCCGACTCCGGGAGGCAGTCTACATTCTATGGATCATTCGCATTGCTTTGGTCTTTGAAACAGAGGCCCCATTTCTCGTTGCTTTTAAAATAAATGTGTGTACATATTTATACATATATATGCATAGGTGACTCGTTTGTTGATGGCTTGTGACGGAACAACAATGCAGCATCGCGGCGAAAGATACACGTGCCAATCTAAAACACAGGGCCCGTCCCCACAGTGTTACTATTGTTATGATGATAATTACTATGATTGTTCATGTATATATGTTCCTTTGGTTTGTATGAACTGTGTTCACATTGTGTATTTTTTTAAGTTGCTGAAATATGAACAGCTCAATGTGCAATTTATTTATTGACATTTTGGAATTATGTCATTCTGCTTTGTTATATATATTTAATTTACGGAACCTTATTGCGGATTTTGTGAAGTCATAGGTTTTTTTTGTATCGCGAAAAAGACATGAAATAAATGTATTCCGTAAACTGGATGATGCGTGTTGGCGTTCATGAGTTATTCGAGTTATCACATATAGGCAATAATCACAAATATCATCAGTATTCTAACAAACGTCATGAAATTCGTCATCGACGTCATCATCATCATAGTTGTCATCAACTTCATCATTCTAGGTACAGCCATTCATTATCATTACCATTCATCTTATCGGTGCCACCATGAATGTCCATCACCATCATAACCAGTAGCTCATCACGATGCATCGATCCCTCTGTCAGCAGCACCAGTTGCAGCAACAGTAGTCTTAGCCGAATCGTAATCATCGCGGCCAGCAGCAATAACCGCACCACCACCAGTAGCACAAGCAGCAGTAGCAACGTAATCGTCATGGTCCCCACCATTAGCACCTGCAGCAGTGGCAGCAGTTTCATAACAATCATCACCAGCATCATCATAATAATTTATATCAATACGGGTATCGGTGGCATTAATGATGCATGCCCGCGCTGAGCTCACAGGAGTGGCGTTAATCAGCAACAGCCGCTATAATTGGCAATAATTCGCTCCACTATTTATTTCCTAATGAGAAAAGCGCGCGCTGCAATTAAAGCGGCCAGCAATTTAATTGATTAAGAGAGGCACGCGACTCGCTCCGCTAACGAGGCGGGCATCTCGCCGCACGGTCGCGGTTTACAGGGGACATTCATCCTCTGGCAGACGGTTTCATGCAACGGTCCCTGGGTCTCTGTTTGGGGAGGAGGTCCTGCCAACGAACACCCAAACCTTTTAGTGCATGCACTAAAAGGACTAAAGCGATTTCCCCAACGCACTATGTCTGGTAAGTGCCTGTGTGTAAACAAGAACTGAACCACAGACACTCATTGTCAAATGAAAAAGGTGCCCTAGCGAAGCGCCTAAGCTTCGGGTAGGGTTAAATGTCACTGTCAGGGCTGGTACTGGTGGCTGGTTTGCTATCCAGTAGTAGGTGATGGTGAGTGGGTGGGCTACGTTAGCATTAATGACTCATTGGATAGATTAACAGGGTTGGGGTAGGGTTAGTACGAGTGAGTGCATGGGGGGGGGGGGGGATAGTTGGTAATGGGATATACGCTCAATGGGAGGGCTCGGACACGTTAATAGTTGGCTACTTCGGGTTTGGGTCAGTTTCATTGCAACGACATTCGCATGTTTTCGAGCTTCTATTTATGACACTCGGCTCATATGCTAACCTCTAATTCAATAATAAAACGTAGAAATACATCACGAAGGAGGCCTATTAGTCTCACACGTCGCCAATTATATGTTTCGATGAATGCAGTGTTGTTGACGGGTGTGAGTTGTTTTTTTTCCGTTTATCAATGTGCGTATCATTTTCAAAAGGGCACATTCCAAATAGCACCACAACTTGTATTCTACAATTTCATTCTAATTGGATCATGCTTACTCGAGTATTTTTGTGCCCTTCCTTCCCCCTGGTACGGACGGACAGAGCTAATGTATAAACGCTTTTAACTTTAGTTTGTACAGCGTTAAAAAAAAAATTGGTGTTGGTCGTAGAGTGTGGTGCAAGTGGGTTTGTGTGTGTGTGTGGAGCGGTAGTGTAGCGGTTAGCGCGCTGCCATACGAACCCGACCACCCGAATTCAATTCCCGCACACGCCCTACACCAGTCACGATTATTGGAACCGGTCCTGGGCCTCCCCGAGGTCGACTCAGCCTCAAATGAGTACCTGGTGCGGTCTGTAAACATCGTCACCAGGGAGACAAGCGGCCGGGATGTGGTGCTGGCAACCCACCCTCTCGTGGCGTTCGGGCCTTAATAGGTGCTCGCTAACAACACTTGCTCCTACAGCCTGTTAAGGCTTTACGGGGATATTTGTCTTTGTGCGTGTGTGCGTGCGAGAGACGTAAGCGGCCGAGTGTAAATTACACACGGGGGTGACGTGGCCGAGTCAGTTATTTAACATAAACTTGGCTCTCTCACTCCTCTCGCTCTCTCTCTCTCTCTTCTGTAGTCGCGTGTTTACGCGAGCCTAAATATAGAGCGCACGGCGCGGGCTCCTGCTGGCAACGCTGGCTAATGATGCAAATTGCTTCTGTCTATAGTCTGGAGCTGTTGGTATGAACGCGCGCTTCACGTTTAATAGGAGCCCCATATTGGGTACTGAATTGATGAGTACCACCACCACCACCACCGCCGCCGGTATTGCCGTCAAGTTGTAAAACAGACGTGTGTGCGAAGTGGCAACAGATCGTGTGCTTTATAACCGAGGGTTTAAAAAAGCGTGGGCTTGAGTCTTAGGGTGCTGCAGGATATGTAGGATATGTAGACCCTCTCCCCACGACACAACCCCACGTGTATTCCGCAGATATAAGATTAGTGGTGGAGTCGATTAATCATCACAAGCGATGATGCGCCGTCGTGGGGGTTGATGGATGACGGGTAACGCGTAAGTAAATAAATAAATGCGCTCCATTCCTTCGCTCTACTTAAAACAAATAGCACGTACATGTTTTAGACTACGCATTAATTATCAATAATGTTGCTGCCGCTTGCCATTGAGCGGGTCCCATCCGTAAAATTGGAATGCGTGGACGACCCAGCGAAACCGGTGCGGAGTTTCTTTGCGTAAACAAATGCTGCTTCAAGGATATCGGTTCGGAAGGCTCATAGACTGATGGAACTACAAACGAAATGCTATTTATACTCGCAGAGACTGACTTTTGTCTTCCCAGTGCTCGTGTTCGCACACACTACCGGGTTCCCATTTAAGGCTGAGATGACCCAAGGGAGGCCCAGCACAAATTCACATACCACTGGTCTTACACCATTTCCAGATATCGAATCTAGCTAGCCGGATTCGTATGGCAGTTAAGAGGCCTAGCAAACACGAAGTCACACGTTCTCTCGTAGCGGACGTCTTTTGAAATGAATGCTCGTGCATATGAAGTCACCGACGCACGTGAACGAGGCACGTGTTCTAGGTGGCAGCTACGCAGCGGAGGAAACCTCTACCGCCACGCGGTCTTATGCAACGCAACGCAACGCTGTTAGATTCGCATTTCACTAATTGCAGTTAATGGGGCAGCAGACGTTATTCCTGAAAATAATTCTGAAAGGCAGTTCGTCATTTCCGACACCAAATGTGGGCTTTTCACTTGTTTAAGCAAAATCTAAATTCATATGTAGATCTTGGCTTAAAGCTTCCGTGACTGCAGTAATTCATATTCTTTGGGTCTTTCGGTAAAGTCACGTAGATAGGAAAAATAATAACAATATAATAATACAAATGAAAATAAAGTGAATAAAAAAATAATTAAAATATCACGACGTTTCGATCGCAACACAAGCAATCGTCATCAGGAGAAATAAATGAACCCGTAAAAACAAAGTTCTTCACTATAAATCCTTTATATGCGTGGCATCGGTTTCATTTTATTATTCATTTCTGTTTTTTTTTTTGCAAGCAAGCAAGTGAACTTAATATAAAGGATTTAAAAATGTAAGATCACCTCTTGACATGCCCCGTGTATTCCCGAGGGCACTAGCGTTGACCCGTTTTACCACTTTCAAGAACCTGGCGGCTTCAATGTAACTGCTCTATAAATAGTCTCCATTATACAGCGTGGGGGCAGGGATTTCATGCCATGTGGTTAGTCAACATTTGCGTCATCATTACGATGGTGACAGTTTTGTGAAGCAAAATCCATCAAATGAGAACGAACTGTAAAACAGCAATACATAAAATAGGCACACGTTTATTGTCGTTTGCTTTCGATTGGTTTACATTACATTCCATGACTGGATGACCTTGTTGTGTTTTCAGTTTCTTACAAAGAGCAAGACAAATTACAGTACGTGTTCAATGGGCCACAACCCAGCCCACATTGGTCTTTGAAACGGGCGGCTAGAGTCCTCTCGTGCTCTGGCTTGAGATGGCTGCCACCTATGGGTCAGATGATTGCCTGCCACCATTAAGCAATTGTTAATTAAATAAATAAATAAATCATAAAAAGTGTAAAATTTTGGAGAAAAAAAATTCACGAAAATTAATTGTCACGCACAACGAGTCTGTGTGCAAAATGTCAGCTCGATTGGATCACGGGAAGTGGGTTAAAAAACGACCGAAAGATTTGCACGGTCATAAGCGCGCAAGCAAGCAAGCAAACTTAATATAAAGGATTTAAAAAGAGGGGGGAAGCTGCTGAAGCAGGCTGTTTCAAAGGTTTGAAATGGCAGCAGCTGTCCAAATTAAGTTGGACATATTGTGTGTGTATGTGGGGGGCACAGGTGGTGAATCTGCCAGTCATCTTAAGTCGGTCAGCCCATGGCACCTGGGTTTGTCCACGTAACCAACTGTCAGCGAACCTTTAACACTTCACGTGGCCTCGGAGTGCACCGAGCCTGGCACAAGCGCCGTGATGACGTCAACGCCACTTAGTGGCGTATGGCGGCTGTTGTATGATTCTATGTGGGACATGTTTGCCAATCATCGGGAGCGTGAAGTGTGTAACTACCAAACGTGTCCTGTAATAATGTTGATTACTTCTATACCGCCTTTCATACCACAAGGCGCTCGGCCACTTCACGCAAGTTTAAATAAAATACACACAGAGACAAATGTTGTAAAATACTACTCGTATAATAACATGAACACAAATATAATGAAAATTGAATCAAAACGATTAAATAATCGTAAGATATCGCGAAAAAAATCAAGAGGCTGAATGATAAAAGCCTTGATTTCAAAGTAACAACTGTGGGGCGAAACCAATCAGTGGAGAGAGTTCCACAGCCACCTCGTTCCTTTATTGGAACGGTGATGATGAGCAAATATGGAGAGGCGCAATGTGGTGTGACGACTATGTGGTGTGTGTGTCTGTGTGTCTGTGTGTGTGTCTGTGTGTCTGTGTGTGTCTGTGTGGGGAGCGGTAGTGTAGCGGTTAGCGCGCTGCACTATGAACCTGGCCACCCGGGTTCGATTCCCGACCACGGCCAACACCAGTGACGATTATCTGAACCGGTCCTGGGTCTCCCCTAGGTCGACTCAAATGAGTACCTGGTGCGGTGTGTAAACATCGTCACTGGGGAGACAAAGGCTGCCGGGCGTGGTGTTGGCCACCCACCCCTTCGTGTGCCGTGCCGGCCTTTATAGGTGCTCGCTAACATAACTTGCCCCTACAGTCTGTTAAGGCTATACGGGGGGTCTTTGTCTTTGTTATATAATACAGCCCCCGGTCTGTTGTTTGCAGGAATCTCTGATGTACGAGTCTACGTTGGCGATGACGCAGATGAGCGATCTTAAGTGAGAATTAGCCACGTGGCGGTCGCACGTTAACGGAAGACACATTCCAAAAAAAAACAGCCGAACATTCTCGGCAGCGTGAGCTGATAAATGTGAGTCATGGGCGTGGTGATCGAGATGGTGGTAATTGAGAAGGGGAGTGAGTTCTGGCGATGGTGGTCGGTGGGGATGGGAACGGAGTGGAGTGTTCTGTATGCAAGTTGAACGTCTTTCACACCGTGAAAATCAGAGGAGCGGGGTAAGGACAACAAACTCAACACTAAACACAAAAAGCAGTTCTAAAGTAATGAGTTTTCGATCCAGTTTTAAAAGTGCACAGCTCCAGTGGCGTCCTAATATTGGAATGAAGAGCGTTCCAGACGGCCACAGAAGCGCATCAGAAAGCGCGTGATGCAGTCACCGTCTTGGCCAGCCAAAAGCCGCTGCGAGGATGACGAGAGTTCGCGTGATGGTTTATGGTCCTTGACGAGATCAGCGAGGCATTGTGGTCCATTTGTGGCAAGCACTTTGTGTGCAATGAGAAGAGGGAATGGGTGGTGGTGGTGGTAGAGGTGGTGGGTTTGGTGGAGGATGTTCAGAAGGTGAGAGATGGGCGAGTGGTGGCAGGGCGTGTGCAGGTGAGGAATCGGTGAGGACGCGCTCGAGTGGGCCCCTTCTCGCCTCTCCGTCCCAGCTGAAGGAAATTGCTCTGCTCCATCCTCGTGGTTTTCACCCCCAGACGTGGTGAATTCATCGCGGCGCACGCGGACAAATCCAAGGGTAATCGTGCAAAGGTTATTTCAGACACGGTGAGGGAGAGCTTCTGTTATCGCTCTTACGTCATCTTAGTGGGGGGAGGGGGAGCAGTTGGGGGGGGGGAGGGGTGGATTATTCGCTGAAAAAAATTCGATTTAATCTGTGACCAAATACAGTAATAGACTGCGAAAGCTGGTAGCCCAATGCGCTATGCACCCAGCGATCTGAGTTCGATTACCAACCATGGCTAACATCGGTGGCGAGTGATATCTGAAGTGGGGCTGGCACCCCCCCCCGACAGCCCCTCCCCCACCTCTGTTTTACCAACACACGGACTAGCGTGGTAAAGTATGGTCTCACAACCCCCATGACCGACACGCTGTGGGGTGGCCTTCATCCAGTTGTGGATTGACAAATAGATGTAATGTATTAATAGTATTTTAAACTACTGTACGTATTACTCGTATCTCGGGGAGCAGGTTGCACATCACAACTACCACTGTTCACTTCAAGGCATTTGGTCGTCAGTTGTGAGTTGATAAACGGACACGGGGTTCTGTCTCGCGCGTACCAAAAAAATAAATGTTTGCCCATCAGCCAGCAATTCTCATCGGGAAAACTCTTGGATTGTTTTCGACTTTCCGAGTCTCATCAAGGCGACAGGGTAGCGCAGTGGTAACACTCGAGCCTCGCTGCAAGAAAGGCCTCGACTCTCCCGACTCGGCTGAGTAGCGGTGGCGAGAGGTTAACCACCTCGCCTTGTACACAGGAGGCCGTGTATTCGATCCCGAGCCTGTCACCTGTGTACGTGGAGATTGCATGTTCTCCTCGGGATCGCGTGGATATTTCTTTGGCTCCTCCGATTTGTCAGGTCACATTTTAGAGACATGCGTGTTTTTGGCTGCTATACATGAGTATCTGGCTGCTGTGCATTTCCACGTGATGATAAGCCAATATTTCGATTTAAAGCTTTCGTGACTGCAGGGATTCATCTTCTTGGTTCTTTCGGTAAAGTCACGTAGAATGGAAATAATAAAATAATACAAATAAAACATAATATAATGTTATTATGTTTTATTTAAAAAAAAATATTTTAAAAATAAAACATAATATAATTTTATTATGTTTTATTTTTATTATTTCCATTCTAATACAATTTTATAATGTTTTATTTTTATTCTTTTATTATTTCCATTCTATGTGACTTTACCGAAAGAACCAAGAAGATAAGCCAATTTGTCGAGCTTTCATTTTGTGATTGCCAGGTCGCTTCTGAAAAATACATATACAGCTCAGAGGGCCTTGCCTAGTAAAATAAACAAAAATAGTTTAGTTTTCTGCTTAGACCCCCATTCGACTCCAATACTGCGTGGAGTTTCCTCTGGTTTCCTCCCGTAGATTAAAAAAAAACCCGTGTACAATGTAACAAGCCAACGCTGAAAACAAAAATACGTGCACATTACTCCACTGGGATTGCACAAAACAACATCACCACCCTCCCGCAAAAACAACAAAAAAATTGACAGGACCCTCCTGAAGAAAAGTGTTTAGACGTTGTGAAGATGTCTTGTGTGAACAAGCGTAAGTAAAACATCGTCGGTGATGATCAACATCGGCAGAATCGGTTCTGCTCGTGAAACAAAATGGTGCAGAAGGCCCTGATGCTGATTAAGTTATTCCTGCGCGTTGTGGGTTTAAGATGTTCTGGGTTTACTCTCCAACAAATCGGTGTGCTGAACTTGTAACCAATTGACATTTTTTCTTTACGTGACAAACCTTACTGATTGGCTGCAGGTTAAACGACACATTTATATTTACGCGATTTAACCCAAAAACCTCCATTATAGATTCTCACTGCAAATTTTCCGCGTTGCTTTTAGACTGCAGTGGGTGGAGCTTGACTCGTAGCCAAGCCACAGTGGGCGGCTATACTGGATGTGGTGTGCCGAGTGCAGAAATCTATTTTTTCTCTTTGGTCGCTGACAAAATCTGCTGAAGCTAAACTCCCGGTGCTGATGGATGAAATCGATTGATTTAGTTTTTACTTGGTTATTTCAGATTCTGGTCTTCCATATCAAATCGTAGCTACGTCGTGCGGTCTAATGTACGATTGGTCATGCGTCAGTATGGGGAGAATCTGTCGAAAGACCGGCGTGCTTGCCCGGTCACGTGATATGTTACCCGTACTCTCCGCCTCAGACGTTAATGTTTTAAATACCACACGTGCTCTCGATCGCTTCTCTGTGCGCGTGTGTGCCTCTTTCTCTCTCCCACCCCCCTCCCACCCAAAAAGTCCCCTTCCTCCTGTGAACTGATTTAAAAATATACTGGTGCACAGTTATAGAGAAGCTACTGGCCTTACTTGTGCTCATCCAATGTCCGTTTTGTTCTTCTCGTGTCTCCCCGCAGCGGACGACTGCACCAGCACGAGCCGCAGAGAGCGTGCCAGAGGGGTTATCCTGCAACCGCTTCCACCACCACCACCACTACTGGCGACGAGAGTTGTGGTTCGTGGTGGGTCCCGTGGAAAAAAAGCTGCTCGATGGGTCTCGCCAGCGGAATAAGGACCGCTCTGTGCTTATTAAATGGCTTTCGGTTGTCGAACGATTACATTATTACAAGGTCGCGCACGGTACACATAAAGTGCTTGCCACAAATGAACCACAATACCTTTTCTGATCTCGTCACAAGGAGCATAACCCATTACGCGACTGACTAACCTAACCGATATTAAGTACTGCCCTGCATATTCTCAGACTAACATAATCCATTGTGTTTTTTTACCACATTAACCGCGTCTGGTTTTCGCACCTGAAAGCCTCACAGTGACGACATCAGCTTTATTCTATTTTAGACCCAAGCGGGAAGAGAGGCTTCACAATTTTGGAAAAATCGCCTGATGAAGCTGCTTGTCATCACCAGCGAAATGTCGTACTCCAACACACCGGTGTGCTGAAGTGGCAATTCACAACCTTACGAGTAATTAAACAAACCTCACGAATTGGCTGTGTCGGGTGGTGGTGTCACACTTTTAAATTTAGATTGAAACGGATTTCTTGCGAACTGCTTGTTGTATTTAAGGGTTGTCCCTCCCCGCACCTCCGACTAGCACGGTTGGCTGCGAAAGAAGTTCAACATAGTACATCCATACAAATACAAAGACCCCCCCCTCCCCATATAGCCTTCGCAGACTGTTGGGGCAAGTGCTGTTAGCGAGTAGCACCTATGAAGGCCGGCACGGCACACGAGGGGGTGGGTGGCCAGCAAAAAACGCCCGGCCGCCTGCCGAGTGGCGATGTTGACTACACACTGCACCAGTTACTCATTTGAGGCTGAGTCGACATAGAGGAGGCCAAGAACTGGTTCAGATAATTATTACTGCTGTTGGCCGTGAGCGGGAATCGAACTTGGGTCGCTGGTTTCGTGGCCCAGTGCGCTAACCGCTACACTACCGCTCCCCACATACACGTGCTCTGTGCCATATGGATCAGATCCATTGCCATGGTGGGCTGGGCAGATTGCGGGGGGGGGGGGGGGCGGTACGGAGGCCGCTGTAGCGTGCGGTTATTTACCCGTGGCTTTAGACCCTGCCTAGGGGGGGGGGGTGGAGGGAGTCAGTGGGAGGGAGGGGGGGCAGCTGCACATGTTCTATGCCTGCTCAGCAGAGCGCGGCGAACACCTTTGCTTACCGCGCCGGTCCTCTCGATGATGGGGAGCTGCGTGTTTGTAGTGTAGTGGTGGTTAGCGCGCTGCGCTACGAACCCGGCGGCCCGAGTTCGTATCCCGCTCACGGCCAACACCCAGTGACGGTTATCTGAACCGGTCCTGGGCCTCCCCTAGGTCGACTCGGCCTCTAATGAGCACTTAGTGCGGTGTGTAGCAAACATCGCCACTGGGGAGACAAAGGCGGCCGGGCGTGGTGCTGGTCACCCACCCCCTCGTGTGCCGTGCCGGCCTTAATAGGTGCTCGCTAACAGCACTTGCCCCAACAGTCTGTTAAGGCTACACGGGGGAATCTTTGCCTTTGTGTATTGTACGCGCTCTCGTTGTATGGTGTGTGCGTGTGCGTGCGTGTGATCGGTATACAATGACACGTGGTGCGTTTTATGTAATTCGCACAGCGTGCAATACACGTGACTGCATTATTCGTGGCGCTGTACTGGGCACGTGACGACGTCTGTTTTGACATATTCATGGCGGAGGAGCGGTGGCAGCGGCGTGTTTGTGAGCTTGGCTGACCCGAGTTCGATTTGCGGCCAAGGCTGGGACATCAGCGGCAGCGGCGGCGAGCGACTTGGAGCCTCCTGGCCCTCGCCCGTCAGTTCACCCTTCAGTGGGCGATCTGGTGCTGGGTGTAACACATCACATGCAAGGGCGTCGACGTCTGTTTCAATGTCTTTCCATTTAATTCAACATCTGTCCGTAGCATTCCTTCCGATATTAAATGAGCCGCTTGAGCTATGCACGTTTAAATCTGGATTGAAAAGTACATTTCCGGAGAACTGCTTGTTGTTACTTTTTAGTTTGTTGTCCTTCGATTAGCGCGGTTGGCTACGTATAGTGCGAAAGAAGTTGAACATACATACAGAACACTCCACTCCCAACCCCACCGCCACGACCACCGTATAGCCAAATCTCACTCACCTCCCTCCTCAATTACCACCGTCTCCACCTGCACCACCACCTACACATACAGACATGGTCTCAACGTCCGTCTCAATACCTCTCTCTGTACATATCAAATGCACGTCTGCGGCTACTCGTTTTCCTCTACATATGCTCAAATGCCCGTGGCTGTCTGCATGTACGTTGACCTTCTTTCGCACCGTACGTAGCCAACCGTGCCAAATCGGAGGTGTTTCTGCATCTCGTCCTCGTAAACATCACCCGAGTCTGTCTCTCCGTATACTCGTTCAACACTCCGTAACCTTTATATCTATTTCACGTCTCATTTGTCCTCCTTTAATTGCCTCCTCCTCCTCCTCGTGTACCTGCCGCCTGCGTGTGGCCGCCCTCCCACTCCTCCCCCACGTCCGCCGGTCAGCGAGGTCTCGCGGACCAGGGTTCATCCCACCCCCCCCACCACCACCAATGGTTGTTTACCCCCCGAGTTTCCCGAGACGCGGCGTCGCGCCGTGAATATTAATGCCACCACCCACCCACCCGTCCGCCAACCCGCCCGCCCAGCCCGAGCAGCCCGAGCCGCCAACGCCGCTCGTGCGGGTTCCGTCGTGGCACCTGCTCCCCTTCCCACCCACGCCGCTCTCCGCGGTTGGCTCCACAGGCCGCCTTTGTCTCTCCAATCGATCGTGGGTTCTTCCGCAAGCCGCGCGACCCCATTGTGGCGTCTCTGCCCTTAGTATAAAAGCCACGGGCCCTATCTCATGTTGCGCTAAGGGGTGGCAGTGGTTAGCGGGCTGCACGATAGAACCCAATTGAACTTACATTGAAGCATAGTTATTTTTATATGTATGTGCAGACAACGGCATGGAGTTCGCGTCTATTATAGTTGCGTGTACTTGTCCTGCTCCATGAGAACACGTGATGCGTTTGTTGCGCGTTAAACCCGAGTTGGATTTCACTGCCACAAACCCATCGTCAGTGGCTGACGCGTGCTGTCCAGAACGCGTCCTGGGCGCCCTATTCAGGAACTGCACTCACCAGCGTGGTGAAGTATGGTCAAACAAACACGAAACGACCGACACTGGTACGTGGGAGGCCTTTTATCCGTACACTAGATCTGGATTGATAGCAATGTAAATGTCTGAGATTATTCTGAGGATTCAACCGCGATTCAGGGCTGCGGTACAATGCAGGAATCGATTAGATTTTTTTTAAATCTCATTTGCATAGTTTGGTTCCTTCCATAAGCCGAAATGTAACATTAGCATTTGTATTAGCATAAATCCATTCGTAACCTTACACGTTATTAAATTATGCATAGTTATGCCACTCACACGTGTAGGCAGTGTACGATGTGTACCAATCTTCCACAATGATTATACGAATGGGAATATATCTTGACCCCACAGTGGATTTATTAACTACAGTATAGAGATGGTCACAAAGGTGATTCAATTAATATACCTCTGGCCTCTCTGTACTGTAAAGAAGTGCGATTATCTGAAACGTCGCTTATATGCGATTTATTTTTGAAGGTTCATGTTATTTACGAATGTGAGTTTTTTTTAAATCCTTTATATTAAGTTCTCTTGCTTGCTTGCGTGCTTGCTTGCTTGCTTACGACCGTGCAAATCTTTCGGTCGTTTTTTAACCAACTTCCCGTGATCCAATCGAGCTGACATTTTGCACACAGACTCGTTGTGCGAGACAATTAATGTTCGTGAAATTTTTTTTCCAAAATTTTACACTGTTTAGGGAAAACAAATTAAATATTTAATTACCAATTGCTTAATGGTGGCAGACAATCATCTGACCCATACGTGGCAGCCATCTCAAGCCAGAGGACGAGAGGACTCTAGCCGCCACACATATAAAGGATTCATAGTGAAAAACTTTGTTTTTACGGGTTATACTTATTATCAATAAAGAATCTTACGCCCAACAATGTATGCATCGAATCGTTTGGTATGAATTCATTTACATATTCGATTATTACGCGTTAAAGGGCTCGCGTAGACTGAATCGCAGCTGCTGCAATCGCCGCAATGTAAACGTAACAATTTTAATAAAAAAATTATTTTATTTGAATCCCGACAATTAATAAAATCGCTGGAAAAACGGGGGTCACGCATTTATCTACACAACTAACGTGTAAAGTACGCAGAGCTCACGCATCTACGAGTAATGCTGCACCTCCGATGGCCACGGTTGGCTACGTATGGTGAGAAAAGTTCAACATGCCCGTCCATAGAAACAAAACAACAATCTCTCCTGGGCTATTTTAAAACTACAACAAGAAAAAAAAAGCAATTTTCGAAGACACTCGTATAAAATATACGATATATTGGTGCGTAAACACGCGTTAAGGTTAACAGCGTGTGGATATTACTCAGCCGGATTTAAAAAAGAAATCGCATTTGTGGTTAACAGCCGGAAATAATATCATGATTCACCTCTCCACGCAGTGCACCTGCAGCGCATAAATAAAAAAGAGCTCCTGTTTACCTGGTCGAACAAGAATCCATATATAAAATGACTGACGTTTCGGGCAATGGTCCTTCTTCACGAAACATTTATTAATTTCTATACAGGTTCCCCGCTTTATACGGGTTAGGTTTGTGTCATTTCATGTACATGCAACTAAACTTATTTCTACCCAAAATGTGTGTTATGCTATTTGAATTCACTCGCAGTGTGGCTGTGTGGTCGGACGTGGGTCAACACTGTCCGTGTGTACTGTGTGTGTGTGCACAGTGTGTGTACTGTGTGTGTGTACTGTCTGTGTGTGTACGGTGTGTGTACTGTGTGTGTGTGTGTACTGTCTGTGTGTACGGTGTGTGTATACGGTGTGTGTACTGTGTGCGTGTGTGTACTGTCTGTGTGTACTGTGTGTGTACTGTCTGTGTGCACAGTGTGTGTACTGTGTGTGTACTGTGTGTGCACAGTGTGTGTGTGCACGGTGTGTGTACTGTCTGTGTACTGTGTGCGCTACTCAACAGGCAGCTGTCTCGTGCGGTTTCGCTTTGAGCGCCCTTTTGATGGAACCCATATACCACAACAACAACAACAAAAACCAAGGGGGGGGGGGGTGGGGGTGAAACCTGTACATTGATACATAACCGCTTACCAACGCTCCACCATGCACGAGCTTTGAAACATAAATCTAATCACGCACGCGAGTCCGATGCGCACATGCATCGCAATGCATCGGATTCGTCGTGAGCTTCAGCCGTCGTGTAACCTGCAAGGGACCCCGCGCCCAGGTGCCCCGCGTGACCTTGCCGCGTGCGCGCGAGAAAACGCGGCCAGCAGCGAGATTTGTAAAAAAACTAAAAATGTTGGGCAAGGGAACGTCGAGCCCAGGCTCTGGCGCCGTGTTGAGACATTCGGCAGCTCACCAACAAAGCGGCTGATCTGACCCCCTGACCCGTTCCTTTTTGAAGGAGCAAATTCATCTTAAAAAAAAACACCCCATAGCACTTTGTCCATCATCTAACGGGGCTTCTGGGGATACTGTTAAGGTTTGCAATGATTCACATCCCTGTCTCTGCTCTCAGAGATTCGATTGTATCATCAAGCGCTGCTGAATAAAGGGCTGCCTACGCCGTCACCGTATTTCCCGGTCTCCAATCCATCAGCTCATCTCGCGCATGCACACCGAGGTTATACTGGTAGGAACCTCCTGCTTACACCAGCCCACAGGAGATTATTGTGTCCGTCCGTCCGTCGTGAATCCAAAAATGGGAGGGGTGGGGCTGGGTGGAGGGGCTGAGTGGAGAGGGTGGGGAGGGGCTGGTTGGGGGGTGGGAGGGGTGGGGCTGGGTGGGGAGAGGCTGGTCACCCCGTGGTGCCCTTATAAAACTCAACGTTTAACCTACTCACGCCGGCTTGTGCCCACCCTCACAGTCGGAATACACCACGCCGCCGTTGACCCTAGCCATTGACCGAGCAACCCAACGTTCCTACCAGCAGCTCCCTCCATTGACCGAGCAACCCGACGTTCCTACCAGCTCCCTCCGCAGGAAAGTGTTTCCTCAGCCGTGGTGGGCGTCCTCGTGGACGTGTTTCCTCCTTTGGCTATCACTCCGTCGTTAGGCTCGACCTCCGGCCATAATCCCCTTGAGTGATGTGTTCTACCTGCGCCCGATTAATGTGTAAAACGATCAATGGGATATTTTATCTTGCGTACGTTCTCGAATGGTTGCGTACCTCTTCCCGTTAATTCGCGTCACTCAAAGCTTATATCCAGCCATGCTTCTTTGCGCTTTTTTCAAATGCAGTTCCACTAACTTTGTTCATGTCTCATCCTCCATGCGTCATGGCACACTTTTAATGCCTCGTTCCCACGACCACTTAAAGGCTTGCCGCTCCGGTTCACGAATCGATGGGATGTGGCTTCAAAAAACTTGGTGTCTGAATCCCACCTGTGCCACCCCAAGGCTCCGCCTTGCGGTTAGCGAATGGTGCGGATCCGGCACGAACATCACGTGCGTTAGGGAGATAACAATGGTCGGGACTGGGCGACGCTCATGGCCATCGAGCCACCCCCAGTCTGGTGCCTGCCTTTGTCTGTGACAGAGCTCGCCACAAACATTAATTTGTAAGGTCAAAGAAGGGCCGTGTGGGCGTGCGTGTGTGCGTGCGTGAGCGGCGGTGGCGGCGTGCGTTTTCGCGAGTGAATGGTCTCGTAACGAAGTTTACGGACCGGCACTGACGTCGGTTAGAAAGTCTGGGTCCCTACGCTGAACCTGGAATGTCGTTGACCGAGTGAGAACGAAACGTTCAGCCCATTTCAGTCGTCGTGAAGCAATCGAGAAGAACATTCAAAATCTGCGAGTAGCTGGTGCGTGGTGCCCAGAGGCTGGATACCTTCTTTGAAGGCGCGTATCGATCGCTTTACGCCGCCGGATAATGGGACGAGGGGCACCCACAGCGACCCGAATCAATTTTCGAGAAATGTTTTGCTGAAAAAAAAAATCTCTCCTTTGAATTATAGCAGAATGGCAATTTAGCGAGATTGAACCGCGATGGCTTCTTCGTTGAAGTGTGCGTGCAATTGTCTGTGCGTGACGTTGTTGTCGGGAGCGGTGGTGCAGCAGTGAGTGCGGTGAGCTCTGAACCGGGTGACCCGGGTTCATTTCCGCTCACGGCCAACGCCAGTAACAATTATCCGAACCAGTCCTGGGCCTTCCCTAGGTCGCCTCGGTCTAAAATGAGCACCTCCTGTGAACATCGCCACTGGGGGAGACAAAGGCGGCCGGGCTTAGTGCTGGCCACCCACCCCTTCCTGTGCTGTTTCGGCCTTCACAGGTGCTACTCGCTAACATCACTTGCCCCAACAGTCTGTTAAGCCTATGTGGGGAATCTTTACGATTGCCTTTGAATGTTGTGTAGAGTGATGACGCGGTGGTTCGCGTACCACGCTCGATGAACACTGCGACCCGAGTTCGATTCCCGGCCAGAGATAATCTCATCAACAAACGGTACTGCCTACACGCACGGTGCGAAATAAGTTTCTCATGAATTTTTTTTTACGATTTAAAGCTTTCGTGACTGCATGGATTCATATTCTTGGTTCTTTCGGTAAAGTCACGTAGAAGAGAAACAATAAAATAAAAAAGCATAATAAGATAAAATGATGACTTTATCTTTATTTATTTTATTTTATTATTTACATACATTGATTTATATATAGATTGGTCCGCTCCCAAAATTAAACCTCGAATGCGTGATCCGATGCGGTGTGCAAACATCAGCAGTGTGGAGCGGGGATTTGGCCAGGCCACACCGCAGCGCCCCTTAATAGATGCTCGCAAACAGATTTTGTCCAAACAGTCCGTTAAAATCAAGACGGGGGGGGGGGGGCGGAAGCGGGAGGGGAAATCTGTCTCTGTTTGCCACTTGAATACGCCTGGCACAATTAGTGTCGCGAGAGAATCAATATAACGGTGATGTATGGATACAACATGTAATGATTAATTAACTCAATCTTGATGCATTATATGGCTTCGTGGTTCCAATCCGGAAAAGAAAAAAAAAGAGTCGGTCAGGCACTAAAGGCGCGTATATGTCCCATCACTAACGACCACTCTGTGGAAATAGTGAGACATTTCGATGCTAATTAGGTGGAATAAAAATACAATTCACCATTGTAAAGGCGTCAAGGTACTCCAAACCAGCTGGCGTATGTGTCACGTACGCCTAAGGATAGCCCTTCTGCAAATAATGTTCAATATAATTTACATAAAGTCGACATTTCACACACGCAGATCGTAGGGGAAAGTGCCATTAGCAAGCAACATTTTAACGCCGATGTGGAACACGAGGGCGGATGCGGAGGCTCTCCGCCGCCTTTGTATCCCGAGTGTTGATGTTCACACGCCGCATTGGTTACTAACTTAACTAACGAACCCCGCTGACTGAGACCGTAACACACTCACGCATACACACGATCCAAGTACAAAGACCCCCGTATAGTCTTTTACCGATTTTGGGGCAAGTGCCGTTAGGTGGCACGGCACACGAGGGGGTGGGTGGCCAACACCACGCCCGGCCGCCTTTGTCTACCTAGTGGCGATGTTTACACATCGCACCAGGTACTCATTTGAGGCTGAGTCGACCTAGGGGAGGCCCATGACCGGTTCAGATAATCGTCACTGGTTTTGACCGTGAGCGGGAATCGAACTCAGGTCGCCGGTTTCGCACATAAAGTAGGGGCATTGCCCGAAACGTCACCTGCTCTACACTTTCCCTTCTCAAGGCAGTGTTGTGGACGAACGTGCTGAGGTTTTTGTTGTTCAAGTTCAAGTTCATTTATTAGGTATAGCCCTGTGAGCCATTCGGCTCTTGAATCGGGTGCAACCGCAACAAACAAAAAACAAAACATGAACAAGAAAACATCTTAAAGTGAATATGTGACTAAGTGCAAACAGAAAATCCAAGAAAAGACAGCAAAATATTGCAGAAAAAACACCGTACACCAACGCTGTGTGCAAAAATCCCAGTGGGATGCAAGTCAAACAAAAACAACAACAACAACCACAAGACAACTTAGATTAAGGCCATCAGTCTAACTCCGTACTACAACAAACAAACATGGCCAAACCAAAAAACTTTTCGAAATCACCAAAATAAAGCCATGAAAGCAATGAAACAGTGTTGTTGGTATTCGCCGCCTGTGCACCACTGACAACTCAGCAGCAGCAGCAGCATCCCTGTGATCTAATGGATGCGCGTGTAGGCTTGAGCAAGAGACGCCGTCGGGATGAGGGATATCGCCCCGTCGTGGAGACTTCAAAAGCAGGGAACGCGCCCGAGGCTACGTCCGCCTCGCAGAGATCGACTCTCATGGATGTGTCGGAGCCAGATGGATTGCTGTATTGCACGACCGTGCGAGATGGCGTTCGCTTGAGAATATATCTGTCCAGTCGTGGACATCACTTTAAGACATTGGCTTTCGCGACCAATATTTTCCGTAATAAAGGGTTTTTTTTGGGGTGAGATTGCGTACATTTAAAATGTGTCGTTAACCCACAACAACAAATTGTAAATTTCGATTTAAAGCTTTCGTGACTGCAGGGATTCATCCTCTTTGTTCTTTTGGTAAAGTCACGTAGAAGGGAAACAATAAAATAATTAAAATAAAATATAATAAAATACAATTCTCACGACGTTTCGGCCACAACGCAAGCAGCCGTTGCGTTGTGGCCGAAACGTCGTGAGAATTGTATTTTATTATGTTTCATTTTTATTATTTTATTATTTCCCTTCTACGTGACTTTACCGAAAGAACCAAGAAAACAAATTGTAAATGCTGAGTGTTTTACGCTCCAACACGCCGGTGTGCTGAAGCAGTAAGTAATTTGTTTACGTGACAAACCTTCCTAATTAGCTGTGTCGGGTGGTGGTGGGCTAACGATACATTTTCATTTACGCGTTCTAACCCCCAAACAACCCTTATTACAGCAGTGGACATGTATGTATATATGTTGAACTTCCATTGGAACCTAATTTACCAGTAGCAAAATATGATAATTGTTTTTTTTACCCTTTTTTCTGGCAACAAAACTGACACCTTTTCTTACAAGGAGTCATGTTTGTATTGACCACAATACCTGCAGTCGGAATGCAAACAAAAACATAACTCTGATAATGTATGCACTGTCCTTGAAATGTATTATTATTATGTTGAACTTCTTTCGCATCGTACGTAGCCACCAGTACGAATCGGAGGATCAGGACAGATCACTGATAAGAATTAGTAGTAATGTGTGTGTGGTCTTCGTCTTTACACTAAGCGGGTCAGAACTCTGTACACGTGCAGTTTCTGGAAACCTGCCTGCGTAACGATGCATTCATTGTCACGATTCTGTTATTTTCGTCGACATCGTATTTAATGTAGCGGCAATCTACTGGCTCGGAAACGGATTCTTCCTCGGGTGATTGGATGCCCACATCGTATGGTTAATCAACAACATTAATCGACGAATCGATGCATTATCACACCGATAATCATAATAACAGCAGCGGCACACATAGGTTGTGGACTTAATTCATTTACTGACCGCAGCCTGGAGCCCCGTCTCCGTGGCTACCGTCGCCCCGGGTTACCGTTTCCCTGGTTACGGTTGCTGTGGCAACGGGATCTCCATCATGGGAGAGGGGCGCGATACCCATTGCCATGGCGACGCGTGGACCATGGCAACCGCGCTTCTCTCCACGTCTCTGTTCACCCTTGCGCCCTGCCACTATCTCCAACAGCTGATATGCTTCACCTTACCATGCCAGATCGTTTTGGAACGTACTGTTTATTTGCAATAGCAACACGGATTATTACCAAATAAGCCCGGGTTTCACCTGATCCCGTTTGGCTCTCAGAAGACGAGAAGGTTTTCGTACTCTTTGGGTCTTTTGTTAAAGTCACGTAGATCGAAAAATAAAAATAAAATAAAAAAATTGACGTTTTTTGAGCTTGGTTAGTGCGTGAATGGGTGACCGATGTGCACAGGACAGGTTGGTTTCGCCTCCTGCAGGGATACGTTTGCGGGCAGCAGATAGCAGAGTGCAGAAAAATGTACTGTTGGAATGTACTATGCTCCCATATCTATGCTCCTCGCATTCGCGCATGGTCAATGACGTAGGGAGACCCACGCACAGTCGTGGATTGGTAAGGAGGGCTGTGCCATGCACTGCACGGTCCACCGTAGTCACGAATGGCTCCTTCCTCTACAACGCCACAGGCAGCTTGGTCAACTATGGACGGACTAGACCCTACTGATGAGTTATTCTTTGGTTCTTTCGGTAAAGTCACGTATAAAGATAAAATAATACATTAAATACTAGCATACGACGTTTCGATTGCAACACAAGCAATCATCATCAGGTATAAATTAAATAGAAACACAAATCTAGTATACTTAGAAATGTAATGTAATACAACAGAGAGTCGGATAACATAACAGTCAACACCCTACCTGGTTGATTACGTTCATCCTGAGAATGCTAAATTTGAGAGAGAAATAAAACACAGAACCAGAGACATATAGACAGACATATAAGCAGACAAATATCACAGAGATACACAGAGAGAGAACAAACATAGGCACACAGAGAGAGACCTAAACCAGTCACAACCAGTGCACAGGATTGGTCCGCTTGTACACAATGTCCGTGTCAATCGTTGGACCCCAAGGCATTTTGACTGACACATCCACGTGACATTTTATTTAAACTCTAATGTTGAGAGATTAAATAAACCTTGAATGTCTATTGACGTGTTTCACTATTCATGTTGCATGCATCCATTGAATAGTTTTCTTTAATTGGCTGCCAAGGTTAAATAGACGCTTTGATAATGGGTGTATTTATATAAATACCCAAATGGGTATTTTTGGTCTTGGGTATTTTTAAACGTGTCAAGTGAATCATAATGCCACTCTGTGAAGTCTGTGATGGATTAATTAATTAACACGCTCTCTCAAACGTCTAAACCCCGTAATATCGCACGCTTTGGTAAATGAATTCAAATGATTCCTGTAATTTTACGGGCCGCGCTAGGACCAATGGTCATTTCCACACAACACCTTAGGCGAAAATCTCCCTAAAGCGACGCAGATTCAAATATGAGTTTTATGGATATATATTTTTGCGCTTCAATAGTTTATGCAACTCACCCCGGGAATGGAACCTTTCGTCTTAACACGTAGGCTTTCGCGACCAATTTTATTCATAATAAAGGTTTTTTTGGGTTAGATCACGTAAGTATAAATGTGTTGTAACCCTCCACCACCCGACACAGCCAGTAAGGTTTGTCCAACACACCGGTGGGCTGATGTAGTAAATAATTGCCGCGTTGTTACGTGACAAACCTTACTGACTGTGTCGGGTGGTGGAGGTTTACGAAACATTTACACTTGCGTGATCTAACCCCAAAAAATCCTTTATTACGAACTATTCGTCTTCGTGCAAAGAGGTGGCTGACCACTGCACACTCCACTCGCCACCCGCCTAAATGAGCAAATTTCGCCTCTGTATCGAGTTGAGGAGGTGAGAGAGAGAGCGAGCGAGCGAGGCGCAGAGGGTGTGGAGGGGGTGGTGGATGCATTTGGAAAATGCTACGGGATCGGAAGTCAATTTTCGCCACGTGCGCTGTCGTTGCGCCTAAGCATTGAGAGCAATTCCAAGGCCTCGTCTCATCAGGTGACGCCGCTGCCACCCATCCATCGGCACCATCGTGAAGGGATTCAGGAGCCAAGCGAGCGAGGGCTGTCCGTGATTTCAGGGGCTCGCGTCTCGGGGTTTAATGATGAGGCCGCGGCGTACTGGATGATGATGCTGCGGTCTCCGCGTGGGCCGAGAAAGTGGAGATGGAGAGAGAGCTGCACGTCTCGTTCTCTCGCGAGCGGCGGGGGCTTTAGAATCAAAGTGCTGATGCGCGTTGTGTAAGCTCCGTGCGTGCTCGCGAAGCGCACAGCTGCGCACCGTGACACCGTCGCCTGCCTAATCCGTTCACGAGCGCATAGAACGCACGTGCTTATGTAACGTGCGTATATTAAGTATTATACGACACGTACATACAGTGCATGGGCGTGTGCGTGTGTGGAGCATGCGATGTGGATGTGTTTATTATGTGCTTTATATACTGTACTGCGTTTGCTGTCTCTTGTATTGACTTTTGTAATTCACCGTTTTGCTGGCACCCCCCCCCCCCCCTTAACATGTGAAGTCGCCCGAAGCATGTGCAGAATGCGGCTGCCGGAATCCCAACGCGCAACGCCTGTTGCTGAACATATTAATTGCCCCCCTCTGTGCTGGCATCTCTCCATTGGCCGCCGGTTCCAGTTTCGGGCGGAGTGAAAGATTCTTCAGTGGACGCTCCGTGATCTCCTTCGCCCACGTGTACCGACGAGACTTTTGACTTTTAAACAACTTTTTATTGCCGCCAGCAGCAACAGCACTGGAGGCGATTTCAATATGAAATACACAAAGTCACCAGCAAACAAAAGAAAACAAACGTTACAAATCCACGCGCTGTGGCGCTGAAAGCACCGCGCACAATACAAAAGAAAAGTCACGTGGTGGTGGTGTTTATCGCGCACGCCACGGTGACGAGCGAGCGCTTCAGAAGGTGAACACGAGGGTGCCGTCCACGCCGGTGCAGAGGGCCTTTCCGGCTCCCCAGCGTTCGAATAAGACGTGCACATCACGTGTACCGACGAGAGCACGTCGGTCTTCTGAGTCTGGCCTCTTTGTGTGTTCCGAGGTGACGTCTCTCTGTACGACGATGGGTGACCGGGCCATTTCTCGCGTGGCCCAAAGGCTGTGGCATTCAATTCCACTGGGGGTGTTCGCTCTGCTTGACTCCCTGTTCTGCCGACAATGCATATATTACCAGCGCATGAGAATAGGTTTTTTTCTGGTCTAACACCGTTTTGAGACTAGGCTCAAAAGAAAGCTGTCTCTGGTGTGGACCAATCAGTTTCAAAGACAATGCATACATTATCAGAGTATGTTTATTGTTTGCATTCTGACCACAAGTGTTGTGGTTAATGCAGACATGATTCCTTGTAAAAGGTTTCAGTTTTGTGTTTTAACATCTTAACAGCTGTTTTGTTGCCAGAAAAAAGGGGAAAACCTATTCTCATATTTTGGTACTGGCAAAGGAGGTCCCATCATGTAGATTACCAGAGCATGTTTTCGTTTGCATGTTCACCACAAGTATGTGTGGTTAATGCAGACAGGATTCCTTGCAAAAGATGTATGTGTTGTGTTTTAACATCTTAACACGACTGCTTCATTGGCAGAAAGGGTAAACCAAATTATGATATCCCTCGCTCTATTCACATCGCGCCCTAAGACGCAACTTATTTTTAAAGTGTGTTTTCTATTGTTTGAATCCTTTGTTTTGGGATTGGGTCTGATCGGTGTGAGCCTGCATGTGTGTGTCTGTGTTTTGTACAGCGCAGTGTGACCGCAGAACGAAAGTGTACATGATTTTTTATTACACTGGTCAACAAAAAAAAAATTCTGGCCTGGACTTTTGCAGCTGTTTTAGACTAATTTCAGGGTGCTAATTTCAAATCTGATCTCAGATTTGCTCTATCACATCTCATTTTTATGCTATCGGCATACTCCATTTTCATTGATTTTACCCGGAATTAACTCTGTCACTTATGATTGCAAGTTGTTGCGAGTCAGTGACTGCTTTAGTGTTAAAATATGGTGCTGTATTTTTAGGATAGTGTGTTTATAATATAATTTTATGTAGATATCCACATTTATTTAATATTTTTCTTCTGCAGTTTTTATTGAAAATGCAATATTTGATATTTCAAAAACCTGATGCGATAGACACAAACTGATGCCAGATTTGGAATCGGCACCCCAAATTTACCATAACCCCGTTGGAATACCTTATGCCAGAGAAAGTGTGTTGACCAGTGTTCTCAATGAGTACGCCCATGGTGTCCGTGGTAGCATTTGTCACCCGAGGTGGTACCGATCAACCCTCTTTAGCACGTATCCTAATAATTGCTTCGAAGTGGAACAAGACAGCGGACCTCGTGCCGCTTGCCCCTAAACTCGTTGCTCGCTCCAGATCAAATATCCGCGTTCTTTTGATCTGCGGCTTGTAATCCATCATGCGCGCACAACGCGCCAGATACTCCATTAACGGGCACGCACAGATTTAATTAACGCGTCGCTAGCGGGCTCGAAGGATCTTGAATGGCATCGATCTGTTGTTGTGTTTGCCCCCCCCCCTTCGAACGCGATTCGTCAACGTCCGGTGGGAAACTCCTCGGTGCCATGCGTGCTCCTGATGGCCTCGAGACGAATTCCCAGGTTGATGTCAGCTGACCACCATATTCGAGGTAGCCAGAAAACAGTGACAATGCCCCTTTAGAATTAAAGCAGCGTAAGTTCCTGAAGAAGCTACCGTCACGTGGAGCGAAACGTCGGACGTTGTTATGCCGTGGAACATGCGGTAACCACCCGAATACACATCGGGGAGTTACAATGTCCGTTATTTATCGATGAAAGCACCACAAACGAGTGGCAAGACTCATTCAGGAGAGGCTGCATTGTTTGGATGTTTGGATAATT